GGTCAAGCTAGGAAAGAAGCCAAAGGAAGACCCCGACGACCCAGGTTGGTTGAAGGTTCCTTCGAGTGATAAGGGTAGTGACGGTTTGAGAGGTAGGCCCTTACCTCCAAGACCTCCTCAACCCAAGAACCCAAGAACCAAGAAACAGAAACGTTGGGCGTCGTGGTCTAGCTCTGGATCAGACCCCAGTTCTGAATCCGAAACTATTGCCCGCCAGCTAAACCTCACTTTGAAAAAGGAGCATAGCGACGAGGGAGTAGTAATTGCTTCGGAGTCCCCAACTAGTGCTGGGTTCAAGTCTGTGTGCTCAATGGCAGTGTTGAGTAAGGGGAGGCGTAAGTTGATAACCAAAGGTATCAACGAATTAAGGGACCATGACAAGGCCCTTAAACGCCTGTTAGATGTAAGCAACGTAGGAACCACTGTTGGTCCTAAGCACATCGTTGTTTTCACTAGCGAGCCCCAACACTTCCAGGACCCAATGATCCACTGCATCAACGTGGGCCTGAACGCCACGAGCGCCTGGACACCAAGTGGTGCCAGGAAGGAGCTGCAGTCTGTGGGTCCTAGTTTAGTCATAGTAGCTATAAGGTATAAGGACCCGATAGATGGCCTTAATCACTCCGACCTTATAGATGAAGTTGTCAGCCACTCCGAAGCATCCGGAACACCGTACCTGTTAATGGACAGTGCCCAGACCTATAGGTGGCAGGAGGCTAGCATTCCTATTCAACCTGTATACGGAGTAGGCGACATTTCCTACTATGGCAACGACAGTGGCATTATGGATGTATTTGATGGTTGGACCACAAATAGCTATCCCTATATGGCGCCGTTGAGTTTTGACAATGTGTTTTCCGTAGATTTCGTTGTGTGGCTTCGGCAAATAGCAGAACATCAAGTAGCTACTGCACTTGTTTCCCAAGAAGCTTTTCCGGCTCTTGAGGCCGACGAAGAACCCTTCGATCAGGTGGAAGAACCGCGCGATTTCGCTTTGATGGACCCCTCCGAGGAGGCCATCGAGGAGGAAACTCGCCTCGACAACGTCGATTTGCGGGGATTACCCATAGAGGAATCCGAGCGCCGCGCGAAATGGCGAGCAGTGCCACAGCGGATACGCATAGCGATCCGACGGCTACATCGCCAGTTCGGCCATTGCCCTAAGAAGGTTTTAGTTAACCTCTTAAGGACCGCTAGAATCGATAAGTCGTATATAGAGGCGGCTCAATTTCATAGGTGCAATGAGTGCGAAGACGCACAGCCTCGTAGAAACGCGCACACCGTATCCATGCCGGAACGGTATTCCTTCAATCACGCCCTAGGTATTGATATCTTCGAATGCTTAGATGCACAAGGCACTAAGTACCAAGTTATGAATATGGTGTGTTTAGGGACGTGTTTTCAGCTTGCAGAGACCGTACGCGTAGGCGACGGGTTGCCTTCATCAGCCCGGTGCCTAGAGGCCATCCAACGTCGATGGACCGCGTGGGCTGGTATGCCGTCGATCATACGGTGCGACCGTGGTCTACATAATCGCGGGGTACTAGCGCAATTCTGCGCAGCCCATGGCATCCAAGTACACCACGCACCACTAGAAACACCCGAGTCGATTGGCCGAGTGGAACGCCACGGCGGAATCCTGAAGGCGATGACTAGAAAAGTAGTATCGCAAACACAGGCCGTAGGCGAAGTGGCATTGCAGACAGTCTTGGATGAGTGTTGTCTCACCAAGAATAGCATGCTGAGACATGGAGGTTACTCCCCATCTCAGTGGGTACTCGGGAAGACGCCGCGGGGACCTCCATCTCTAGTAGAGGAGGATAACACCGCCGATCTTGGATCGTTAAACGACCAAGTTGATCCCGAGAGTCGTTTTGCCCTAATCCATCAGGCTCGGACGGAAGCCAAGAAGGCTTTTGTCCATTTGGACACCTCGAAACGCGTGCAGCGTGCACTTCTCAGGAATGCGAAACCGCTGCCGTACACGTACTCGGTAGGAGACGTGGTTTGCTTTAGGCGGGATAAAACAGGTAAAACTGTTTGGTCTACCGCGTCTAGGGTAATCGGTTTCGAGGGTAGCCAGAACGAGAGCGTGTGGGTTTTGTGTCAGAACGTACCGGTTCTAGTGTCCACACAGAATCTTAGGCCTGCACAAGATGCCGAGGCACTTGCACACGCAGTTCTCCAAGGGGAACCCGTGCTGCCAGAAGAACTGGTGCGCGGACAGCAACACTTCGAGGATCTCAGAGATGCACCTGGTGGTGACGTCGATGATGAGGAGCCCGAAGAAGTACCTTCGGAAGGTACACCTCAAGAGGAAGTCGAAGAACCATCCTATGGTCTTCTGGACGGCCCAGGACCGCTTTCATCAATCTTCGAGGATGAGGAGATGACTGAACAACCAGAGCGACCAGAGAGAGGTAGATCTAGATCACCTCCACCAGCATCATCTTCGAGGTCCCGACGGGTCAGTACAGCTGAACCCGAGGCAGAAAGAACCCCTAATCCTAGCAGGAGAGAAAGCAGATCAGACCTCCTGGACGATCTGCCGGCCCCTATTAGGTCACGTTTTGAGGAACGTAGACACGAGGAGGAAGCAAACGTGAGTATTCGACAGAAACTCCGTGGCTTTTGGTCTAACCGGTTCTCTTCCAGAGAACAGGTTGAGCAGGAGCTCAAGGACCTCCCCGAGGCCTTGAAATACTGGGAATGCACCCCAGCAGTCCGCCTGCGGATCGATGGATCACGCGCCAAGGAATGGAAGAAATATGAGGATTTTCAAGCGGCAATTCCGCTGAAAGGAGCGCAGCTTAAGGAGCTACTAGACGCCGGTCATACGCCGATACCATCTAAATGGGTCGACACTATTAAGAACTATCATGAACGTTTTAAGCCGGATTATGAACCTGAGTTCAAATCCAGACTGGTGTCCTGTGGAAATTTTGAGGATTCCACAGAGGTTCGCACGGACGCGCCAACCTCAGACCTCGAAACGCATGGCCTAGTATCAGCGTTCGCCGCATCCAATGGAGTCCCTGTAGAATCGTCAGATATTCGCAACGCCTACTTTCAGGCCGAGCCAATAGACAGGGTTGTACTTATGAGACAACCTGGCGGAGGACTTCCAGGAGTAGATCCGGAAGCGATGCTCCTGATCAGAGTACCGGTATACGGACTCTGCGATAGCGGCAGAGGATTTTGGAGGAAAGTCGACCGAGAAGCACGTGAAGTCGGCTTCCAGGTAAGCAGGATTTTCCCTGCATTTTACTTTTACCGCGCCGCCGGAAAAGTAGTCTGTGTCTTGACAACACATGTCGATGACTTTTTATGGGCATCGATAGGCAAGGGCGGAACTATCATAGATAAGCTCCTAAAGAAGTTCGAAGTAGGCCGCCGCGAGTCGGGAAGACTACGCTTCTGCGGTAAGCAATTCGACATATCTGGAAAGGACGTGTTAATCGACGTTACCGATAACACGAACAAGATCACCTACATTGATGTCAAAGCAGGAAGGAAACACTCGGATCTTATTGACCGAGGTGAAGAACGTCAGCTACGTTCTGTAGTCGGCAGCCTTTCGTGGATTTCTAGGCAAGCTAGGCCAGATATCCTATACCGCGTATCGAAGCTTCAGAGCTCGATAAAAGGTGCAACTGTTAGCACTCTTCATGAGGCTAACAAAGTCCTAGAACTTGCCTTAAAGGGTCGCGACCTTAAGCTAAGATACAAAAATGGCGCTTTTGATTTCGAGAGCCTGGGCGTACTGACAGCCTCAGACGCTAGCTTCGCGGGTGAAAAGGGAGACCGATCACAACAAGGACGGATCCATTTTCTCGCTCCAGCTGCCCAGCTTCGCGATCCAAATTGTAGTCGTTACGACACAATGATCGTGTCGTTCTCATCCACCACAATCAAAAGAGTATGCAGAGCAACTCTTCAGGCTGAGACTTACGCACTCCAAAGTGCCCAAGAGGCAGGGGATCGCATAAGAGCAGCCCTAGCCGAAATCTACGGATTCGGTAGTAGTGGTCCCGATTGGGAACTTCGTGCGAGAACACAGGTTCCGCACATAGCGCTGACGGACTGCCGCAGCTTAGCCGATCACCTCAACACGGAGGCTCCATCCCGTGTGCAAGACAAACGATTACAAATCGAGCTTAGCGCTCTTCGTCAGTCTATCTTCACAGAAGACGGCAAGCGCACGGTTGAGGCCTACCCTGCGGGTGGAGATAGAGTGGACTGGGTCGATACAGCCACTCAAGCCGCTGATTGTTTCACAAAGTCCATGAAACCGGATTTCATCATAAAGGTGATTGAATCTGGTGAGTACAGTATTAGTCGAGCTAAGCTGTAGACGTAGATTGCAGACGCTACAATCGTGGGCATACGTTGTATGTACCATAGTAGCTGAGTCGGTGCTAGGGTAGCATGCAGACACCACTTCCGGAGGACAATGCCTATTGTATCTCATGTGGTTAATTTAGATTTTCCTCGATGTCATGGCATGAGAACAGGTTGAGTGTGAATGCACCCTCTGTTGTACATGTACAGGAAGCCATGGCCATGACATGCATGTGTTAACTGTGTATATTTCCCGCTGCCGTTAGGGCCCTTGAGTCATATTCAGATAGCTTCGCAGTCGGCGAAAAGATCCACCAGTTTTCTCAAACCAAACTCTAAGCCTTGCTGGCTTCTTAGAGTTAGTGTTATGTTGAGCCCATTTCCCCCATGAGCATGGGGCAAGAAAGGAACTATCACTACGAGAACGTGTCGAGCTATGACACGGCCAAGAAGAAGTGGACGACCAAATCGGAGAGAAAGAACACGCACAGTGCATCGGCCCGCTTTCCGATCGCCACTAGGTTGGATTTTGGGACATTTGTTATTTTCCTTATTTGGGTTTATAAGGGACCCTACATATAAATATTTTTCAGGGTGTTTAAAGGCCAACCCAGGCCAGCATGACTGACGAGACATTATCTCCTTCCCAGACAGTGGCGATGTTTCACTTGTTGCACCACACCGCTGCAAGTGCAAGCAGTGAGGACACTGGCATGCTCCACGAGACTGAATCTCGGCCTAATATGAGGGCCTCAATAATTACCTATACCATTATTTTGGGTGTTCCTCACTATAGTTATAGTATAATGGGCCCCAAAACCCTCTTCTCAATGTTAAGGCCCCTATTGGTACATTGTAGTACCCTTATAGATCCCTTTTCGTAACCCTTCTGGCCCCCGTTAAAGAACCCTATTCCAATTATTCAGGCCCCTAGATTAAATTGGTTTGAACACGTGAAACATCGGTGTATTTCAGGAGACGGGCAGCCGACCTGCTACTCTTAGGAAGCGCTGCTACTTTCCTAGTGGGCAGCTCAGCATACCTGAACATGCCTACCTGTTGGTACCTGGATAGACGAACAGATACTTGGATCTATATGCCTAAACCAATCATCTATTGGTGCATGGATAGACTAACGGATAGTTGAATCTAATATGGCTTAAGCAAGGGTCGTCGGGCTCTCTGATGCGCAAGCTTGGGAGCCAAGGTGATTCGTGTGGAAGGCACTGGAGAGAAACGCCTACTTCTGACTTGCCAGTTCCCTCTCACCTTCCTGCCGCGTGACTGGGTGTTCCTTAAGAACATTCTAAGGAGCCATAATTTCTTGTTACACAAGCAACACCGATATGTTTGTTTATATTGGGTCAAAGGGGCTTTGCAGGTGACACAGAGACCGCCACGGCTCTGGCAAGATTCAAGGAAGATCTCTGACTTTCCTAGCAAGACGTTGGCCAGTTTGCAATACTGCGGTTTAGGGTTTACTAATGTAGGAGTTCTCAACTTAATTTGGGGATCAGGATTTCTACCGCACCAACACCACGGACAAGTATCAAGACAAGTCTGAGAAACAGACATTGCTCCTTGGCTGAGTTTCCCGACCAAGCCTTCGGCCCCTGGTCTTCTGTTTATCTTACCTTTGGTTAGGGGTTAGTAGGGAATGGAGGAATGGGGTACTATTATAACTGCTATTACTACCATGGCTTCCATTCCCTACTAACCAAGGGTAAGTTATCTAGGACCCAGAGTAGGCCCGTATTCCTTTTTTTTTTCAGGGTTTAGGTTTCCTTATAACCCCTTTTTTAACCAAAAAGAGCACCGTTTGTTCTAGGTTACTGTCAGGTCTAGTGATACCTTGCAGTGTAGTCAGTGCACAACTGTTCTGTAGTTTACCCCAGGACCCAGATCTATTTATGAACGCCCCGATGTGATGCTGAAGCCTCCACTAAACCGAAAAACCCTGAACCCTAAACCTTGACCCAAAGCTTGAAGTGCTGTAGCGCTCATTCGCCCTGGAAGACGAGGACCTGTTCGCACGCAGACCATGCGATGGTCGTGCTGAGCCCTTCGGAAGCTGACTCTACACCGCTTTGGGGTTTAGGGCCGTTTTGGGTTGAGGGTTTAGGGCCGCTTAGAGATTGATGTTTACGACGTTTAAGACCTTGATAGGTGTACAAACCCGGAGCTTGTCTTTCCGAGGCTCGGCAGGGCAGGGCGTCACGGAAAGACCTTGGCCTCTTGGTCTTGGAGGGTTTAGGGGTTTAAGGCTTTACGGATTCGGGGCTGGTTCAGGGTTGATTGTACGGGTTTAGTTTGAGGGTGTTTTTGAGGGTTTAAGAGTTCAGGGTTGAGGCCGTTAGGGTTCTATAAGAGCCCCTTCAATGGTTTGAACAGGGTTCTGTAGGGGTTCTTCGATGGTTCATAACTGCTCAGGGTTTGGGAATAAGGTCCTTCAAAAGGTCCCTTAGCAGGTTTCCTGCGAGGATATTGCGAGGGTTCAGGGTTTCGGGGTGCTGGAAGAGTTCTAGAACGGTTCCTGCAAGAGTTGTAAGGCTACTCATTGTTCCCGAAGGAGCCAAGCCAATGCAAGGCACATCTATGTACGTATCTAAGAGCAGCTTTGTCTGTGCAGAGTTGTGTACACAAGAACAGTATGCCTTGACAAGTTCATCAAGGTTGGCAGATGCCTGTATGTCATATGGTGCCTGTAAGTTACGGCCAGATGTGCGCAGTTTATGCATGTTTACACAACTTCCACACCACTGCATGCACTTCTGCACAAGCATTCCAACCCAAGCCTTTGCCATAGTAGCACGTAGTTTGCGACCGCATTTTCGTAATTACGCTTTGGTATGCGAGATTACGCCTGTACAGGGCGAAAGCTTCTTCGATGGCTAGTAGCATCCTGAGTTGGGTTTGGGCTTTAGCAAAACGGATCCAAGTACCTTTAAACCCATGCTTTAGGGCTTTAGGGGCTTCAGAATTGGGGAAATACGAACCTGAAGTAGCAGGTTTAGTAGGAGTTTGTAGGGAACCTACAATTTACTGCTTTGCCTAGAATATCTAGTTGTTTGGTACTTCGCGCTCGTACGGTAAGGTTGTGGGTTTGGGATATTGCTTCAGTTTAGGGGCCAGAGTACTTGGTGATGATCTCCCTTTCGTAGTCCCCACACACATGCGTGTAGGACAACCTGCCCCTAGACGCTGACTACTAGGCACTAAGTTTATGTTAGGGGAAGTGAAGGGATCATTTTGCGGTGCCTTCACCAGGGCCGTTGAAGACATAGAATTCTCAGAAATGAGCCCCTAAACCCTAAACCCTAAACCCCTAAACCCCTAAACCCCTAAACCCTAAACCCTAGCCCAACGCCAAGGTGGATGCGCACTGCGTGGCTTGTCGTCTCTACCCTGCTCCTGATGGGCCTGCCGTTTCGCTGCTTCCTGTGTCCTTTCTGCACACAGGGGTCTCGGGTTTTGTCGGGACAGCAAATGGCAAAAGTTCCCCCAATTCTTCGCAGAGCTGCAAGATCGCTTCTCAAAGTTTCGAGGTATCGACGTGCGCAGAAAGTGGTATGGCATGTGCGGAAGCACTTCTCCATCTTCCCCGCAACACCTGCCGTGGCACCGCTGCACTCGCTACAGCGCTCCCGTGACCCAGCTGCTGGGCTGTAATACTTAAAGGATCATGGGACTTAGTAAGTAAGGTTTAGGGTTCCTTTTTAGGGTACTCTAGGGTTCTATAATAGGGTTCCTTAAAGGGATCTATAAGGGGTTTATAATGGGAGGATCATGGGACTTAGAAAGTAAGGTTATAAGTACCCGAATTGGGGTTATCAGTATAGTTACCTCTAATTGTAGCCCTAGCTACTAAGTCCCATGATCCTTTAAGTGCAGAAGCCTGATTCTTAGTTGCGCCCAAAGCCCTCCTCTAATGCATTATTCAGGGCCCTGTATTACATAGTGGGCTGCGAGGGACACCAACACTTGGGATATTTGTTGCCCCACATGGAGCAACCTAACCTGAACCTGTCTCACCCCTAACCTTATAACCCTAGGCTGTAGACCGTTCCAGCGAGGCTGTCGCCCGAGTCGGACGGCTGGATCCAAACGTCCGCATCGAGTTCGCTAGAGAAGGCCTCGCAGCTTGTACCCCGTGGTGCCCCACACCCTAATGCAGGGGCCTTCATGAATCCGCATGGGGTTTGGGGCCAGATTGATAGTATGATGTATTTAGGGACGAAGCTGGGGCAACATCGTGGACCCTGCTTGCTGGATCTGGCTCATCAAGTACCCAAGAGGGTACACATAAACTACTATTATGGAACCAGGTCCCAAACCAAAACATCATCGGGATGATCTTTTAGGACCTAATACCATATGTTATTGTAATAGTAGTGAATATAGGAGTTTCCGGAAAGTCGGGGTATCTTATTTAGGGGGTCCTTATAGGGATCCTAGTATCTAGGGTACTATATTAGGGTCCCCTATTTTCGGGCACTCCCATATGGACCCTCTGGGTAAGGTTGTAAAAAGGGTAGTACCATGGCGAAAGCTGCTTCTGGCGATGGTGAACGCCCACCACCCCAAAACGATTGTCTCCTTATAAGATTTTTTTCAATATTTTTGTTCATATAAAAAACCCAGAGAACATTAAAGATGCTATTTTTGTTATAGCTCTAAGGGGGGTATAGACAACCCTGGCAAACCGAGTATAGGCTACAGTAGCTGGGCGGTTTGAGTGTTCGGAGCATGGCATGCTGCTCGAGACTTCCTGTGCAAGTTCCTCAAAAAAAGTAGCATGGTTGGTATAAGGAACCCTTTAAGGAATCGCATTGGCAATTCTTCAGGCTTCTGCATTACGGTCACCCTGGGTCCTTTCGAAACTGCCCACCAAAGCCACCTACATCATCAAATCGGGAATACGGCGTGCAGTCCTTTAAAACGGGCTTCTATGGTGAACTAAGGGTATATAGTCCTCATTCACGGCTCTATTGGTGCCTCTGATTTCCGGCGGCGAAGGTGGATTCTGGCAGCTCCCCCAGACTGCAGAAGACGACCTGCAGATGGACATCGAGGTGGGGATGCAATAATATGCAAGAGAATGGCTTTACTTTGCAGGGAGGGTTTTTCTATCAAAGGGGCTCTCGGGCACAGAGCCCCTTCTACATCCCTCTTTCGGAGGGTCTCCCGGAAGGAAGGGAGTATTGTTTGGGGTGTGAGACTCAGAGGTAGCCCAAGCCTCACGGGCCTTCTCAAAAGAGGCCCTGATCTCCAGGCCCCAAGGTCATCTAACCCCGGAACTTATGATCCAAACTGAAACCCCCAAACCACCGGCAGCCCTGAACACGAAACACAATGAAGACAAGAGTTTGAACAAAAATACGCTGTAGTTAATAATTGTTCTGGCATCTGGTGTTACCTGGAGGCCCTATAAACCCTAAAGCTGAACTATCGTGTGCTGAGGCCATGGCTGGCGTCAGCTGCGCTGAAGCACCCGACTACTGGAGCGTTCAGGGTACTATAAGGGATCTATAGGGGTACTATAATATAGGGGCCTTACTGATACCTATACTATTTTTGTGGGCGTCTATCATGGGTTTTTGGGATACGCTTTACCATAGCCTCACACTCTAAATCCGGGCGCTGGCAAGGACTCCATTCGAATGCTGGTCGGTAAAGGGTGAATGGGTGAAAGGGGGTGGAGAGGGCTGTTTTGCGGCTTGTGAGGTGCTGGTGGTGGTGATGGTGGCTTGGGAGATTCGGAGGTATTGGGCTTCAAGCTGATACGGAAGGCCCTGGAACCCTAAACCCTACAAAGTCTCCACGGCGTATACCCTGAAACGTATTTAAGGAGCTCAGTCCTGACAATCTCTTGGATCGATCTTACTTTATGGTCGTTTGTTTTTCCTATTGCTGAAACGGGAGTGCGGCAAAACGGATCCTTTATCGTTCGTCCCTAAGACCTGAACCTGAGACCATGTACAAAAACCCTATCAACCCAAACCTTAGACCCTATATAAACCCCACGCCCTCATTTCCCAACTGGCTCTGCAGGAAGAACCGCAGCTTGCATGCTGACTTCCGCTGCGTGGAGCTGCTGGAAGATGCAACAGACACTATGCAGGCCGGCCTAATCCTAGTAATGATTATCTCTGCTATTTTGCGGATTCCTTCTCAACCCTACTTCTGGCTCTCTTAAACGGGACCTTGTTGAGAGGGTCTATATCCCCAAGGGTCCACCCAGGCTGGTTTAAAGACAGAGGTTTGATATGATTGCTTATTACATGTCTCTGAAAGTTGTAACAACCAGCACAGAAAGCACAGTTAGTGAGAACAAGCCCAAACGGTCCAAGTGCCATTATAGTAGGTATTTGGGCCCCAAAAGTATGTACTATACCATTACTTGGACCCTTTGGGAAGAACGATACTAGTACTACCTCATGCGAATAAACCCTTCTCCCTCAGGCCCTGCACAACCTCAATCTCTGAACATGAAAACCGTGAACCCTTAATCCTTCCAAGCCGCACGGGACCCTAGTCCCTAGTCTCTAGTCCGTGACGCTCGGGTCTTAGTATACCATAAACATACTAAAACGTTATAATTACGAGCACCAGTGGGCATGCAGGCTTCCAGACTTAGCCCCCAGCGCCCCCGGCGCCAGAAGTAGAGATTCTCAAGCCGAACCCTAACTCCTCAGCCCCGAAATCGGAAGCCCTGAGCCCCAAACCCCCCTAGACCTTGAGCCCGAGCCCCAAACCGTACTTTAGACCCCTAAAAATTAGAGGGGTCTAACTCCAAGATCTCCACACAAACTTTAAACCTTAATTTTGATCATGTACCGCCGGAACCTGGGTTTAGGGTTTAGGGTTCAGGGTTTAGGGCTAAGCCCCCAGGTTGCAGGCCCCCCCAACCCTAAACCCTAAGTCGCAGGTCCACATCCAGCAACTCCTGGACGACTGCTTTGTTGCTGCGGCTACACGAGATCGAAAAGGAGCCCTTCCCTCACGCCGCTTCGACAACACGGGGTTGAGAATTCGGGCTCAGGGTTCAGGATGGCTTCTGAGTAGCGGGGGTTTGAGATTTTAGGGTTTTTAGAGTTCATCATTCAGGGGTTTGGGTTCATGGTTCAGGATTTAGGTTGAGGCTATTTAGAGTTTGAGGTTCAGGGTTTAGGTTTCGGATTTTAGGGTGGGTCCCTGTTTGGACCCCCAAAACGAATTCTTGACTCTGTGATTCTCACAACGAGGGGCCTCGGATGGACAGCGATTCAGAGAACTTCTCACACATTAATAGGTTTGTTTTGCAGAGTCACTTGTGCCTGCCTTCGCAGAAACCTCATCAATGCCACGATTTGGTGCTAAAGAGGCTCCCTCGTGTGAAGCTTAGATTGTCTTGGACACGTCCAGTGGGAACACTGTAGACTCTAGGCCCAGAAAAAGTTTCGACACTTGTTGGTTTGGTAATATAACCTTATTGTCAGCATCATTATGGTAGTGCCCGTGAAGCAACGACAATCGAAGGTTCAAGCACCTTAGACTCTCCAAGCTCCCCCAGGTCTCGTGGTGGAGATGATCCAACGCGTCGAAGACAGCGGCCTCTGGCAGAAATACTCCGATCGCCGGGCCAGGCAGGGTGGAAACCCTAAAGACCCAAAAGTACTTACAGTATAATAAAGCAAAGTATGCATCACATTAACAATAGTCAGAAGATTAGGAATGTCACTATTACCAACAATATGATTAGTGTTCATAATATCAATGCTAAGATGAATAAGATTAACGATACTCCTAGTTTCGATCGTTAGCATATGGAGGAGCTCACAGGGTTGCCCCAATCAGTATATGGTCGGTAAGTCGGAGCAGTGATTGCCATGGTCTTTAGGCATGCTTCTGCAATGGGGTCCCTGCATTTTCTCTGAGAGACCCAGTTGCCGGGTCGTTGTTGGAGTCTTGTGCCGTTTACCCAAGTACTGCAGCTTGAACCTGGAATTGGTTGTAGATAGAGCGTGGGTCCACAATGCAGAAGCTCTGCGTAAATTTGAATGCCGAAGCCTGAACCAAAAATCCGAAAGACCCTGAACTCCTCGGTGCTGGGCCAGAAGTGACGTAGGATTGCGTTGAAGACCGACGAGGTCACCCAGCTGGAGGCATCTTATCTTGCATCAAGTCTACAGAACTCTATGACACACGACCTCTGCCACACACCCTAAATTGAAGCCGAAAAAACTAAATGAAAGCCCCAGTCTTATTGCATTTGGCTTTCCACAACCTGGGCTAACGCAACTCAGACCTCCAAACCACCCCGTCGTGTAGAAACGGCGACACGAAGCAGAAGCAATTCACGTTTTATCGCACGGATACCTCAACAGGCCATGATAATGTGCTTTCCTTCCTACATTTGCGGACTGCGGGGAAAATTGACAAGGGCTTCCTTGGTCGAAACCGGGAGATCTAAAAACTCTCGCAGGGTTTCCTCCCAAAAGGTGGCCTTGGACCCCATTGAAACCTATGACTTACCGGGTAGGGAATGGAAGAATGGTAGTAATAGTAGTTATAAGTGTACCCCATTCCTCCATTCCCTACTACCCAACGGTAAGATGATGGCCTTAGCAGTCTTGGCAAGTAGACTAGGTAATTAGGGCTTTGGGGTACATGACTTTACTTCCAAGGACCCATTCGGAACACTGAAACACTCAGACTCTGCAAAGTTTTAAAAGCCTAGGACCGTAGACCCTCAGACCCTAAGACCCCGAACCTTTTCGCCTAGTATAGGGGCCGAGATGATTAGTAACAGCAGCCCTTTACAGTCCCTCGACTAGAACAAACCACAAACTTCTTATTGAACCAAAATCCAAACCCTGAAACCTTTAATTGGGTGGCCCTCCACTGAGTGCTACAAGGGCCTCTTCCTAAGCCTCATGTAGTCAGAAGTACAGCGAGCCAGTAGCACCCGGCCGCAAGCAGTCCCGAATGAACCAAAAACAGAGCAAGCAGCAGTAACAGAATGCCAGGCAAGCAGATAAGAACTAGGATATGGCGCAACCAGGTGCGACGAATGCTGAGAATCAACCCTGAATTTTGAGTCGCCAAGGACCTGCCAGGCAGTGGCAGCTGCAAGACGACAAGAAGCCTCGGTGACCTCAACACGAGGCACTCTGAAGCACTTGGATGTATGTGTTCGAATTTCCAGGGTGTTTGGTAGTAGAGCGTCTGTCCTTGCACAGATTGATTGTTTGATTGATTGATTGATTGACTGACGGATTGATTGATGCATTCATTGTTTTGCTTTGCCACACATGGACAGCAAATACAAATTGCCACTGCAACCTGGTACGACATAAAAGTCTTTTCCTGTTAAAGCTGATTCGCAGAACACAACAGTTTAGTTCTTGAGAGCCATGCAGTGTAGGCTTGAAGCTCTAGCCCTCAGCCGCCCTTAAACCGCCAAAGCCCGAAGACCGCGATCCCTGAACCCTATCCCCAGAAGCCCGACACCCATCAACCCCGCAAGCCCTAAACCTCTAAAGCTCAAGCGCCAGAACCGCTATCTGCCCCAGTATCCTATTCTATGGGGGTTTGTCAAAATTAGGGTCCCTTTTGGGGTACTCTAAATATTCGGTGCCGCATTATATTAGGGACCCAAAGGGGACCATAATTTTGACAACCACCCATGTATCAAGGCTCCCATATCAAAGCCCTGAGGCTGGATAGCGGCATTAACGAGCTCTACCTGTTCCACGGCTCCAGTCCTGCTGGCGTCCTTGGAATAGGCACCTCAAGCTTGCAATGAGGGACGACCTGAGGTAGCTTGATTTCGGGTCCACCTGAGGCCCCTCGTAGGAAAAAAACGCCGCAAATCAACAGCGCACGGATGAGTATTCCCAATGGCTCTTCCTGTGAAAGGGACCCTCTAAACAACCCTCATAGGACAAAACACAGAAAATCAAAACAATTGATTGACAAGTTCAAGAGACCCCATGGAAGACCCTATGCCCGAAATCCAGACCCTAGAACCCAACACACTTGCTCTAGAAGCTTGAATAATTAGTAGTCACTATTCCATAAGGCTCCCGCTTCTTGGAATTCGGGCTTCCTTTGAGGGAGGATCTTGGCAAGAAGGATCCTACGCTAGATTCTTTTTGAATGGAGATCAGGGTCCTCTCTTATAAGTAGAACGAGATTAGCGTCCACCTTTACGAGTATACACATTGTCGGATCATGACAGAAGCACAGTCGCCCCTGGCGCCCTAAAACCCTCAATGAACCCATCTCGCAAGGCTCTTCCGGTTTTAATCTGGACTTTGCGGGCTCGAGTGCGGGCATGATGCCACCTGAACATGATTGATTCCAGGTAGTATACTTAAAGGATCATGGGACTTAGGAACTAGGATTATAATTAGGGCAACTATACTTATAGGTTACTTATAACCCCAGTTAAGGTACTTATAACCTTACTTACTAAGTCCCATGACCCTCCAAGTGCTGATTCCAGGTAGTATAGGCGCCATAGCAAATAGATGAGGATGACCACAGCCGGTGTCGATAAGGTTTTCCAAGGGGCTTAATTAGTGCCGTAGCCATAATAAGTAGAGCAGGGTTTTCGGATATGTCATTTTCGAACTACGACAGGCACCCCAAGGAATGGTATTGGTATTTGTTCTGGCTTCTTTGTTACGTGCCACATTAACCTGATTGCTTTCAGGTTCATCAGTAGTGGGGTCTTGGAGTATGGGAAGGACCTCATCCTCGTCATTCCTTTGGGGCTAGCTATACTCAGGATACACGTTGAGGGTTTGCTGAAGTAGGATCCGAGCTTTTGGCTAGGGTTGAAAGCCTCAGAGGGGAGAATAAAACAAGGAATGCACCCAGGAAGCCCAGCAGGGACGAGAATCTTGAACAGTCACCAGATCCTGAAGAGGAAGGGAAAGGAAGCAAACCGTTCGAGGCTGGGGGCGTGAGGCCCTTTGGCACCTTCGGGGCGCTGGTGGGGAGAAGAGGTTCCTCCATAATGAAGCAAGGGCTGCCCAAAACCAATCTAGTCTAGTCTTCTGTTGCTGGTTCTTGCTTGAACTTCAATCAACCTGGAGAGCGAAACTAGAACATCTAGATCGCTCTACAAATCTAAACCCCGCAAACCCAGACCCTTCAACCTTGAGCCCAACACCCTTAGCGCGAAGTATGTAGGACACCTTTTGATCTCATCAAAGACCTTGCCATCAACTTGAATCCATCTTTCTTTCTCCCTGCTGAATCCTAGGCCCGAAAGCATCTCGGCGTCTCGGAGGTATCAGGAGCTTGAAAAACATCAAAAGTGCCCTGAAAAGTAGAAAGCAACAAACAGCAACCGAGAAAGAACAGGCCGTTAAAACCCTCAGCCCTAAACCTAAACCCTAAACCTCTCAACCCGAAGCAAAAAAACCCTTCAATCAAACAAACACACCACTTAAAGCATCATGGATCCCTTTAAAGGACTTTAAAGTATCACCCCAGTTACTAAGTCCCATGATCTTTTAAGCAGCCAAGCTTCAGGTTCGGCCCTGGGGCTTATTTCGCCGAGGCGAGCAGCAAAGGTGACGAGTCTAGGCCTAAACCCTCAACCCCCTTGAAACCCTAGACTAGGTAGGGCTTTGGGACATTTTATATTTTCTCTTATTGGGCTTAAGAGGATCTTACCTACTAATATTTTTCAAAGGCTTTAAAAGCCCCACCCCTACCTGGACCCTAAGGAACCTACCTTTTTAGGCCCTAATAAGATTTCTTTATATAAGTCCCTAAAAAGGTAGGTAAACCCTGTGCCCTTAAACCCTAAACCATAGGCCGTTCGCAGGAAGCTTTCCGCATTCCATTCTCGTACAACTTGGAATACTTATCCCTCATTTCAAGAAAGCATGCCCCTGATGCCCGTTCCAAATATGAGAAGGAGCAACAAGCATAGCCTAAACCCGAACATCCTAAACCTGAAAACCTTTTTTTTTTAAAACGGGCCTCCAAGAAAAGCCCAGGCGTGAACAACGAGTAGAGCATCGACCCTATAAGCCCCCAAACCTTAAACCCCAACCCAAAGGGTACTGAGTACCTATATAGCAGAATAGAGGGTTTCTATCTTGATAATTACTCTTATGGTTTAGTAGAATATAGGGATTCTATCTTGATAATTACTCTTATGGTTTAGTAGAATATCGGGTTTCTATCTTGATAATTACTCTTATGGTTTGGGAAAGTATAGGTACTTAGGAGCCTTTCGGTCAGGGGCCTCCAAGAAAAGCCCAGGAGTAAAAGGAGGGACCCTTAACAAGGACCCCCTAGGTATATACCCTTCATATAGCTATTATATACCCATTATATAGGCCATTATAGGGTAGGGGTCCCCATTAAGGGTCCCTCCTTTTCCCCTTTGAAAAGAAAAGCCCAGGAGTACGCCAGCGAGGATCCCTCCGGCCTCTTCGCCGGGAAGCGCCTCATTCGTTTGGGGTGTTTTAGGGTTTGGGGTTCTAGGGTTTTTAGGGTTCCTATACAGGGATCTATATAGTAAAAGCCAGAAAGTTGGTTTATGATTATCCTAACCCTTCTATGGTAAATTATAGGGTATCCTACCAAGAAACCATATTCCAACTTTCTGGAGTTCCCTTTATAGGGGTTAGGATTTAGGATTTAGAGTGTAGGCTGAAGGGACAGCTGGCGGAATCAGCCTTCAGAAGGTTTGGTCGTGAGGTTCAGGGTTTAGGGGTTCGGAGTTTCGGGTTTGGAGTTTAGGGGTCTAGAGTTAAGGTTGGGGTTGGTTTTGGTTGGATGCTTGCATAAGGGGTTTAGGGTTTAGGGTTTGCATAAGGGTGTATATGGGATTTGTGATTCGGCTTATGGCCTTTTTCGGGTGTCTCACGGACGTATGTTCACTCTGCATGGTTTTGTAGAAGCCTCTAGACTCTATAGGTTGTACAGGGGCTTATACATGTGCAAGTAAGCTGCTAGTAGGGTTTCTCAGAGTTCTAGATATCTTTGCCAGAAAAGTTTTTCTATGAAGCATAGATCGGTCCCATGCTAGTACTATAATACTACGGGGGCAGACTTACCCTTGAAATCTGATCATTTAAAGTCTATTTAGGGAATCATAGCATTTAGTAATCATAAAGAAAATAGAATTATCTTAACTCAAAGGGTCTGAGGGGGCCTCAGAATTTGAGCGGCACTTTATGCAGGGGTCCTCCGAACAAGCGACATTTTTGGGGGTCAATGTTATTATCAGGGCTTCTGCTTCGCAGAAACTCCAAAGTTGTACTCTTCTGGCGCTTATACGCAGGAGACACGTATATGAGCCTTGGTAGCGAGCTCTATTAAGCTGAAATCTTCTCTGGGATTGCACAACAATAACCCCCACCGCTTTCAAACTTAATCTCTACACATGTTGTAACCATATAGCTATTGGAACTAATACCTCCTTGAACTATTAGTTTGAGAGTTGTTCGCCCTAAACCCTTAAACCCTGCACCCCTAAATCCTTAAACCCTAAACCCCAAACCCTTGAACCCCTAAACCCTAAACCCCTAGGCCCTTAAACCCTTAAATCCTAAATCCTGAATCCTAACTGAAGTGGGGTGTAGCTGTGCGGTGACGTGTGAGGATGCTTTTGAGTTAGTTTTTTTCTCAGTGCACACTCGGCAAGAGTGAGCTGGACGTCCTCGCACCTGCAGTTCGAAAGGCCCGTTGCACCTAAAAAAATGGGAAAACCCCTAAATCCCAAACCCCTAAACCCCTAGGCCCATTAAACCCTAAACCCTAAAACTTTGGAACCCAGGTGTGCAATGCTTCTTTGTCGCGTGGTCTGCGGCGAACTGTTTCGAGTGGAGGCCGCCGACCCGAGGTTGGTGAAGAATTCCAGGACCTCCGGTAGGGTTCCTACAATGGCCTTCTAGTAAGAATTGCCTATACTATTTTGGGGGCACAGGCTCCTTTAAGGACTCTTTTGGGGGTTCCTTTGAGGGATCCTTTAAGGGCTCTGCAGGGGCCATTATAGGGTTTAGGGTTTAGGGTTTGAAGAAAGGGTGCGCTATAAGGGCTCCTTTAAGGGATCTATAGGAGTGGATCTCTATGTGTTAAAGAATTCCAGGACCTCCGGTAGGATTCCTTTGAAGGGGTCTACTTAAAGGATCATGGGACTTAGTAACTAGGCTTATAATTAGGGTAACTATACTTATAACCTTACTTACTAAGTCCCATGATCCTCCAAGTATAAGGGCTATAATTATAATTAGTAAGGACCTCCGGGGCTTTAGGGTTTGGGGCCCATTATTACGAGAATTGCAATGAGGACCTCCGGGGGCTGACGATAGGGGCCTTTATAGGGTTTAGGGGTTTAGGGTTTAGGGGTCTAGGGTTTAGGGAAAGGGTACTATAAGGGCTCTTTCAAGGGCTCCTTCAAGGATTCCTTTGAGGGCTCCTTTAAGGGATCTGTAGGAGTGGATCTCTATGGGTTAAAAAAAATTCCAGGACCTCCGGGACCTCTGGGGCATAATAAAGGGGCCTTAATATTTTGAACAGGGGTTCTTTTAAAGGGTTTCGGGTTATTATAAGGGCTACTATAAGGGTTTAGTATCAATATAGGGGCCGTTATACGTAGAAGAGGGTTTTGGGGCACAATATGCTATAATTACAAGGAACCAGGACCTTCGGCAGGAAGCCGAATAGCCAGGGTTTACTAGCAGCCTCGGTTTAGGGTATGGTTACTAAACCGGGGCTACTTTCATCCGTGGCTATTTAGCCGCCCAATCCGGAAGACCACATAAACATCCCGAACCTTGAGCCCAAACCCAAAACGCTAACTAATTTTCGAAGGCCAAAAACCACAATCCTGAGCATTAAAACCTTCTTAAACCGGTGTAAAAAGATTAAATCGAAACCCTGGCAAAAGATCTGTTATTAAACTGGAGGGTCTTCAACCAAATGTCCAGGACCGGCCGTTACGATGGTACCCTCGGCGACCGGGCAGCTCGTATTTCAAGCGCATCCTTTTCTGTTGAAGTGGAGGGTTTAGGGTTTAGGGTTTAGGGGTTTAGGGGGTGTTATTGAGCTTTGTATGGGTTTCTAGCCGATAGGGTTTCTACAAGGTTTCAGGGGTTGCTTCAGGGGACGTTGTAACAGTGACTGTGGTCACAGGCCAGCTGTTCACATGCAAATGAGACTAGCCATGCCTGTAAGTAACGTAGAAGTCCGTAGAAGCCATTGGAAGCCTGAACTTGGATAAGGGTGCTTGTAATATATATATATATATATATATATATATATATGTGTGTGTATACATACATACATACATACATGCATACATGCATACATGCATACATGCATACATGCATACATGCATACATACATACATACATGTACACACACGCATACATACACACACATACATACATACATACATACATACAGACCCCAAAACTCTATTCAACATGTAAATTAACTGGCCATGCGCCCTCAACTAGCTGTATCAGTGCGTGTCGCATGCACGGCTGCTGCATAAGAAGCTTCTTCTGTGCACCTGACCCAGGAGCACGCGGCTGGCACCTACCGGGAGTTCGTGGTTTACGACCAGGCACAGGTCTACCCGGAGTACGTAATCATCTACCGGCGGATCTTCGACTGATGCGAACCAAAGTTGTTCGACTAATTATGTCTCTGGTTTGGACAAGTCCTGCCGTTTGCAGGAAAGGGAGCGCAGAGCCAAGCTGGGAAAAAGAAACATCGCTTGCTGATGAACAATTCTGTGCTTCAAGGCTTCCTTGCAAGCCTGCGCAGGCGCCGACCTGCCACTCTGGTGCAGCGTTTTGCTAACTCAACAACTGTATGCATGTGTGCATATGTTTGTGTGTGGCATGGCATGGCATGGCATGGCGTGGCATGCATTTTTGTGAGCACGCATACATGCATGTATGTATGGATGTATGCATGCATGTATGCAATCGTACTGTAATGTAGAGTCGTTTAACGCCTTCAGGCTCTCATATTCTCAAACCAATCCACGGCAACTCAAGTTCTTTACCCAGAGTTCTTACAACATGATGAAGCAGAAGACCCTGTGCAACAGAAGACTTTATCTAACCCTAAATGCTGTCAGCAAAAGCAAGAGCCTGTTTATACATACGTGTCTTTGAATACGTATATAATATACAACTTTATGTATATGTACACTGTCATCAGGGACTGCAAAAATCTTTTCAAGGCAACTATACCTTTGTGCATGTAAGCAGAAGTTGTCATGTAAGCAAATTATGCTGCTTCTATGTATGACCATATGACCATATGTGCATATGTATGTACAAGCCTAAGCAAGTCAGCCCATTTCGAAGTCAAACCTCTTATTCAGCTTGTCTGGCGGAATCTTTTGTCTGACAGAGCCGATCATTAAAGAGAACGTCTTGCAGAATAGACCCCCTGTCTTCGTAGAGTCTAACCAAAACAATTTGTCGGTCAGAAACTCTTTTGACAAAAACTTATCTAACAGAGAAGCCTTGTCTAGCAGAGACTGTAGGTTGTAGATGTGCGCTGCTCGCTTGCTCTTTACTTCCCTACATTCACCAGCCTTTGTCTTGCCTAAGGCTCCATGTACCCATATAGTATATACCTAGGCCTTAAAGTATATAGGGACCCCTTCAATGCTCAAGTAACTACTACAAAGGTACATGAAGCCTTCGGGCTTGCCTATGTCCACGGAAGCGCCTGGATCCTCCAAACCCACCCTCGACACGCCTCCACATCAGCTGCTGCTTCTAGCTAGGCAACTAAATCTGGATTCAGGGCTTCCGTTTCAGAAGCTTGTTTGTATTTGTGGTGCTTTAGCTTGTCTTAATCATTTTCCTGTCGTCTTCTCCAACTTATGCTCCTCTCGCACTTGGAGGTTCATGGGTAGTTACAATTGGGGTTATAACTAAGGTACCCATGATTATAACCGATATTAGGGGACTGATAGCTCCCACTTATAACTACCCATGAACCTCCAAGTAGGCCTATAGAATCCCTTTAAAGGGACCCTTAAAGGAACCCTTATAACTACCCATGAACCTCCAAGTAGTGGCAGCTTGAGAAGGAGTCCACTTGGGCTTGCGCTCGCCGAGAGGAGGCAGAGGCGGCGATGCAGGCATCTGCGGGGTGGTGGGGGCGGGTGGGGGATTGCAACTAATCGACTCCTAAATCCTAAACCCCTCAAGTGCAGGCGGAAAAGGGCCCACAAAAAAAAAACAAAACTTAACCCTAAACCATTCGGCATCGATGGTGCATACAGAAATCAAGATGTGCTGCAGCCATGGAGGCTCCTCACTCAATGGCACACCCTACATAAGGACCTTTGAGTATCTATGTGGGGTGTGTGGGGGGGGGGGTGGAGAAAACTGCAAGCAAGCACGTCGGGTTTAGAGGTTCGCGGTTTAGGTAGGGGAGCGTCTAGGGTTTGCAACGGAGATGAAAACCCTTGTCAGTTGATCTTGGAGTTCTTGTTTCATTCGGCCCCGTTCGAGTCCCCAAGTCCAAAGCTCCCAATGCCTCAACTTAAAGGGCAAGCCTAGTCCGCCCCGCTCCGCCGAAATCCGAAATCCAGATTCCAAACATCTCCACCAAAACTTTGAACCCTGACAGGCCCTATACCCCCGAAATTCTGCGCCAGTTCTGTGCGGGAGCCATCCGCCACAAGCTGGCGCTGCTGCCGTTGGCCTTGCGCGCTTGAGCGGGGCTGTCTCGGAACGGTCTCCGGCGATTTCGCCGTGGGCAGGGGCTAAGGGGTGGAAACCGGTTTTGGGTAAAGGTTTAGGGGTTTGGTGAGAAACTTGTATAGGGATTACAGGGGGACTGACATTCTAGATTTACATCTATGTCTATGTCTATATCTGTATCTGTATGTATATAGTCAACACTACTACTGCGTAGACCAATCCTCATGAAGCTCGTTTATGCTTGTATAGTATCACGATGTCCCTGTATAGGCCTCTCACTAAGCTGGAGACCGTATAGCCGCACAGACTCTAGAGCCATCTATCAAGCAGCGAAGGATTCTCCGTCTTGTTGGAGCTGATGATGAGACATGATTATTTACCGCTTGCTTTTGGTTTCTTCATTTCTAAGACTCTAAGACTCAGACCCTGATGCTGTAAAGGGAACTCCAGAAAGTTGGAATATGGATTAATGGTAGGATCCCCTATAATTTACCTTAAAGGGGTTACGATAATGATATTCCAACTTAAACCCTAAACCCTAAACCCTAAACCCTAAACCCTAAACCCTAAACCCTAAACCCTAAACCCTAAACCCTAAACCCTAAACCCTAAACCCTAAACCGTTTTGATCTCAGGGTTCAGGCCTTTGGTTCAGAGTGCCCCACCAAGCCATGCACTTAAATGGGAGGTTTCCGAAAATTAGGGGTACCTTAGGGTTCCTTTTTAAAGGGTTACTATAAGGGTACTACTTAAGGAGCTCTATAAGGGTTTGGAGTTTCCGAAAATTAGGGGTACCTTATTTGGGGGTCCTTATAATAAGGATCCTACTATTTAGGGTACTACAGTAGGGTCCCCTATTTTCGGAAACCCCCCCCAAATGGCAGGCAGGGCAACAACAATGAAACAGAGTCAGCCAGGCACTCAGAGAGGAGCTCAAGAGGCTTCAACAAACAACTCCGGGGTTTGCTGCAAGTTTACGCTGAATCAATAAAAGGTAAGCCCATATTAAGGTAATGTAGAGTTTGGGACCCAAAGCCACCCCGGGCTGCCGCGAAAAGTCGCTGGGTTCCAGGCTGGTTAATGGGTGTTTGCAAAGCGGTTTTGGTATTGGTGATTTTTTCTCTGGGTCTGTCCGGAGTTTACAAAGCTTGTCTTTGCAAGGGGCAAAATAAGACTTTGGGTCTTACGGTTGAGGAGCTCGGGCGCGTCGTCAACGATAGCGGTTAAAGTCACGACATGTGCAATAGCCTCGGTTTTTCCAGAGAGTGTTCTCCCCCCTGCACCCCCCTGTTCATGATATCGACCCCAAGAGCTGCATGCGGGCGTGAGCGATACACATCCTGCCTGGCGTCATGGTTCTTACAACGTTGAAAGGGTGGGGAAGCGAAGAACAGATCATGACAAACGCTCATGTTAGTTTTTATGTAGGATGGTCCTTGCCAGCCGCAGTAGCTGTAATTAGTGGTGGCGGAAAGAAGAGGAGGAGTAGCAGTAGCAACAGCAGCAGGAGCACCAGCAGCAAGAGTTGGAGCCGGGATTTAAGAATGGCGGGAGCAACAAGAGAAGAAAAGACTTGTAATGACAGCACTAGTGTTGACAGTTTTGTTTGTAAGTATAAGCTGAGAAAGAACTGCTAGCAATATGCAGAACAAGATGGAGACCCCATACCAGCATCATAAGGTCCCTTAAGGGGGTAGGGGGAGGGGGGTACGGGGCCTTAACACTTATAATAAGGACTTAATAAGGCCTATTTAAGGAAATATAGTCCCCCACCCCTCCCCTTACGGTCCTATGACAGCAGATGGTTTGGCCCGCCCCCAGCTTTTGACCCATGACCTCTACGAGGCTCCAAACCCCAAAGCAGAAAGCCGCGAAAAGCCAGAAGCCGCTTATACAGAGGTCGGAACAAGTAGCAGTAATATTCCCTTGTGTAACCACCACATATATATATATATATATACATACATAACGATTATGTATGTATGTATGTATGTATATTTATACATGTATACATACACACATAGAGAGAGATAGAGAGAGAGAGAGAGAGAGAGAGAGAGCGCGAAAGAGAGAGGGAGAGAGAGAGAGAGAGAGACAGAGACCGAGACAGCATAGCAAATCCCCAATAGAGCAGTCGTAATCATCAAGGCCACCATGTTGCACAAAGCCGTCGGACCAGTGGTAAGTAAGGTTCTGACGACCGGATTTGGGCCTACAGGTGGATATATCTGTAGTTCAGCACTTTCTCCCTTACCTGTTATGTTTCCTGAGCTGCTGATCATACCCTATTGGAATGAAAGTCGCGCTGTTATACAGGACTCATAACACTAATTGCTCCGTATTTTTGGACCTTAAGCCCAATCACTTACGTCCCCGGCAGTCCCCTGATCCCTAAACCCTAAACCCTGAACCCCCGAAAGCACTTATATCCCCGGCAATCCCCTGATCCTACCAGTGCAGCTCCGAGGTCGTCAAACAGGATAGTATGGCCTCGGAAGCGTAACCCGGAGTCGATTTACAGTTTGGTTTTTGCCACAGGGGCCGCTAAGGCTTTAAGAGGATTTCAGGGTTACTGTAAGGGTTTGTAGGGTTTTGGGGGTTTTGGCCAATGCCAAGGATATTTTTTGATGTTTCTGGTTTGGCCTTCGTAACGTTTTGTCAGGCAGGGACACATAAGCTGATTCCGAGTGCGGGCGGGTGCAGGGTTCGGTTGCGGGATTTCGGTTTTGGGGTGAAGGACATGAGGGTTTGCAGGGGCTGTATCCGTTTAGTGGCTTAAAGTTCGTGTACGATTGATTGTATAGGCGAAGTCCGTTGCAGCGGGTTTCGGGGTCTTTTCGCTGTTCTCCTAAGTGTTTTGGGATTCACCGGGTCTCCCAGTCCCGGTGGCTGCCAAGAGCCCGGTGTCATGAGCCAGGGTTTAGGGTTGAGGGTATGATCCAACTGATGGTTGTTTTGGGACTGATATTTCATGTTTCTCAGAACCTAACCCGAGGCGTCGTTGAAGTCATGGTTTATTATGAGTCAACAGGACTTGTAGTAGCCCATGATCTACATATCCTCATCTTTAAACAACTATTACATGGGCAAAGATTGTTTTGGACCCTTGATCCTACCTTAGCCCAGCAGCAGTTAAGTTCCTGGCTGAGGGTTAGGACTAAGGTTTTACGAATACCCGCATGAATGTGTGTCGCTACAATGTTTTGTTTCCTCGAATCGTTAAATCTCGCTAACCCGATTATTGTTATTGCTGACGGCGCAGTGTCTTCGCACTTCACGGGGGTAAGAGTTGGGACATCTCGGGTATGAGGGGTGAACGGACGCAAGATTGCAGACATGTAGGCTGTAGATTGCTGCTGTGGGATTGAATACCTGCAGAAAGCAGAACATGTGCTTGTCATAGTGTTTTCTGTTTGCACCGTCCCGCTCGTGTGATATGTTTCCGTGAAATGGCTGGGGCTAGGGCCAGAGTTTATAAGGTACAGGGCTTATAGACTTACAGGTGCTCTACGTTTATGGCTACCTGTGGCTGAGTTTCCCCGTTTATGTACCCACGATCCTTGGGAGGTACTTCTACCATCTTTCTGGCATGCATTTGGATCCGTGGGATCACAGGCGCGCGTTTGCTGCTGGATCTTCTTGGTTACTTGACAGCTTGAGGCAACTCCCCCTCCCCTCTTCCTCCCTATCCTTAGCTTCTGAACTCCTATTTTCAGGCACCCAAATATGTGTCATTGGTACTCGATACAAATCTTGAGACTTCTAAGCGAACAAGACGTCTTGTACAACCGTCCTACTTGATCATTGACTGCAGATGGCGTTCTTTGCAGTGCCAATGCGCTCGTTGAAGCAATGTCGAAGTGTCAGCAACAGCCAAGGCGATATGATGACCAGCTTAACATGCATAGCCCAACCCCAATATACAACCCCTCAAAGCCTAAGCCTCAAACCCTAATCCCAAATCTTCCGCCCTCAGAACACTAAACCCTAAACGCTGAAGCACTGAACCCTATACCCTAATTTTCTGCCCTCAAAGCACTGAACAAAAACAACCAAAGCCCGACAAGCCCTACAGTAAGCCTTCAAGAGTTGGAAAACGGGTTAAGGCCAAATGGAGCTGGGATTTCCTTTACATTACTCTTAAGGATTTAGGCTATTGGGTTTCCAACTTTTGGGCTTCTACTGTACAGAGATAGCATGGCTAGGATGCCCAGTAGTACCCTTATTCCCTTTTTGTAGTCCTAGGTTCCTTATAAAGTTACCCAATACCAAAAAAGAGAGGCCTTTTTATTCTTAGGTTACTGGGTATCCTAGTATATTCTGGTACCCTTATAGATCCCTTATAGTAGCCTTTTTAAAGGACCCCTTTAAAGGAACCCTAGTAGTCTTTTTATTCTTAGGTTACTGGGTATCCTAGAGGGGTAACCCGGAAGCTGCCAGGGTTCCTGGGGAGTCCCCTGACCCCTGCGTCCAGGCGCGAGATGGGTTCGAGTTGGGAAGTACTTGGAGGTTCTTGGGTAGCTATGAGGGTTCCTTTAAGGGTCCCTTTAAAGGGATTCTATAGGCCTACTTGGAGATTCATGGGTAGTTGTAGGTGGGGTTATAAGTCCCCTAATATGGGCTATAATTATGGTTACCTCATTTCTAACCACACTTATAACTGCCCATGAACCTCTAAGTGGGGAACGTGTGCCGCAAGATTCACTTGGACTTGCCCTAAGGGTCCATGTACTCATATATACATTGGCCTTAAAGTACTCCCCAAATAGGTACATTGGGCCCAAAGTATATGCTATATGGGTACATGGTACCTTAGGGTTGATTAGAAGTGTGAGTCAAGGAAGATTCTTTCAACAACAACTGGGCTTATTGTTCGGAAATCATGACTGAAAGAATGCTCGGTAATCTAGAAGTTTTTTAGGCCCGTTGAATATCGGCGATCCCGACCTACAACAGCTATCTATTTCTTTGGTTGTATCTATATCTAGACCTAGACCTATGTCTACCAATACCTATACCTATACCTTGACCTATCTCTATACCTACATATACGTATATACATATATATATATATATGTACATATGTAGATGAGCGGATAGAATGCGTGCCTGCATTCATTCATTCGTTCGTTCATTCATTCGTGAGAGCCTTAATCATTAGAAAATGATCTTGGGATGAAATTATAGTAGGTTACTAGAGTCATAACTACGGAACACGGCAAGAACAGATCAGAACACAAATCTCCAATCCCCTAACCAGGCTACATACAACATGTGTGTACATGTAAATGCCATATGTATATATATATATATACATATGTATGTATGTATATATATATACATGTAATATTATATGTATATATACAGATATATTATGTATATACGTTGTCCTTCTAAAGGGAGTCGAGTATAGTATTGTTATTGGTCGAGCCTCGCAGCAGGCACCCCCACACGGCCCGATGCTCTAAGCCAGATTTATGGCTGCACCAAAGAAGTCGAGCTAGTGTTTGCTGCTTGTTTCGTGAGACATGTATGGTCAATAAATCGAAAGCGCAGGTGCAACGATGATCTTAGCAATCATGGTCATCACCAGAAACATAGCGAAGAAAGTGATTTTGATGGCGATAGCAAGAATATCTGCAACATCATTAAGACTGGTCTTGTTTATTTGTCATGGCAACATTATTCATCGTGTCCGTTCAGTACCCGTTGTCGCAGTTTTATCGTGTTGCAAATTGCAACCTGTGCAGGATGGAAGACTGCTGGAGGTTTAGGTTTGCACGGTACTTGCAGTATCTGCAGCGTTTTTGAATCCAAATGATTGCTAGCATGCTTACTCTATTGCGTTCAACAGTGCCGTTCTTTTTGCCACCTTGGCTCCTTGCAGCCTTTGTAAGGTCAGGCATAACCCCCAACCCCTAAACCCTTGAAGTCTAAGCTCTAAGGACTCTGGGTGATTTGCCCCCGAATTACGAATATGCTGTTCCTGAAGGTTCCTGGTAGTCTTATTCAAGGTTTAGGGCTTAGGGGACTATTAAGGCCTCTGAATATTTCCCATAAGTCCTTACCCAATTCAACTCTATACCCCCGAAACCCTAACACCTCAAGCCCTAGACCCTAAACCCTCAAGCCTACTTAAAGGATCATGGGAGTTAGTAACTAAGGTTATAATTTGGGTAACTATACTTATAACCCCAATTAAGGTATATATGGTGCAGCGCTGCTAGGCCCCCCCTCCCCCCCCCCACCCCATGGTATCCCCCCCCTCCCCCCCCTGTGGTTCGCTGTGGTGTGGGTTCCCCCCTCCCCTCCCCCCTGTGGTTGCGGTCGGCTGTGCCCCCTTCCATGGCTATTGCTGGTTGGGCGTCCGGCTGCTAAAGGTTTTGACCTTAGGATGTGATACAGTTCCACTGGACTCCGACCTGCCCTGAGCTCCAAAGCCAATGACAGAGATTAATATTTTGGTTATGATAATGACCAAGATTGTGGTCATGATACCCACCTCCGGTCCCTTGCTCAAGAGTCCCGAATGAAAACCATTCAAATTCGTGCTCAAGCTTACTTTTAACGTAAAACAATGAGCATGCGGTGCCGAAGCCCAGAGCAACACAAGAGCAAAGGTACCACCAACAGCCACACTGGGAATAGCACATCAACATAATTGGCCACAACATCATCGCCATCATTCTCACCTGTATGTCGAAGGGGAGGGGAAGGGGATGGGGCCCTGTGGTTCTACGGGCTGTGGGTTGCCCCTGGCGCTCCGCCCGTTTGCTAAGGAGAGGTATATTTTGAGGGGGGTTACGCGGATGTTGTGTGACTGTTTGCTGGGACGAGAGGCCTGGCGGGGGGGGGGGGCCTTACTTACTAAGTCCCATGATCCTCCAAGTAGACCCTAAACCCTTAACCCCTATAGATCCCTTATAGAACCCTTTAAAAGGAGACCCTTAAGGAACCCTTTAAGGAACTACTACGCATAGGTATGTATACCCAGAGACCCCAGGGCCGCCCCGAAGAAGACTTATTTAACGTCTGGACAGATACTTTCATGGGTAGTTCTAAGGGTTCCTTTAAGGGTCCCTTTAAAGGGATTCTATAGGCCTACTTGGAGTGTGGAGTTATAGGTGGGGCTATAAGTCCCCTAATATGGGTTCTGATTATGGTTACCCGACTTCTAACCCCCCTTTTCACTACCTATGAACTGCTAGGTGCTATTTACCTGTAGATCTACACAGCCCCTAAGCACAAACTCCGTAACATCTTAGACAACCTTCAGAGCCTATGCCCCACCACCGTAAACCTTGATCCGTGCAGCCCAATTAAGGGTTGTGTTTAGGGTTTAGGTTTTGTGTTCCACAGTCCTTTTGCATGACATGTCGATTTCCGTGGAAGTCCGATTGCTGAGTGGCAAGACAGCTGCGGTGAAAGCAGGCTTAGATGAAAGAGTAGCGGAATTGAAACGTCGTGCCGAGACCTTACTTGGAGTTGGAACGGGGCGGTTGGTGACTTCGTCTGGGCAATTTCTGGATGCATCTGCACCCGTCAAGCGTGCCAGGCTGGAGAATGGGGACTCAGTGACCTTGCACATGAACCAAGTTCAAATTCAGTCCTGTACTCTGACTTTTGCCGCTATTCTTGGCGATGGATCTGTTATGACCTGGGGTAGTGCCCGCCACGGCTGTGATATTGGAAGTGCTGCTTTAAAAGAGCAGCTGAAAAATGTGCAGCAGATCCAAGCAACTGATCGCGCTTTCGCGGCAATTCTTCATGGCGGATCCGTTGTCACCTGGGGTGATCCTGGCTGTGGTGGTGACAGTCGTGCTGTGCAGGATCAGCTGAGGAATGTGAAGCAAATCCAAGCCACTGAATCGGCTTTTGCTGCCATTCTTGGCGATGGATCTGTCGTAACCTGGGGTGATGCTCGCACTGGTGGCGACGCTATTGCTTTGCAAGGTCGGCTGAACAAGGTCCAGCACATTCAAGCCTCCAAGTGGGCGTTTGCTGCAACTCTTGGCGATGGATCCGTCGTCACCTGGGGCTATGCTGACTATGGTGGTGACAGTAGTGATGTGCAGGATCAGCTGAAGAATGTGCAGCAGATCCAAGCCACAGAGCGAGCTTTTGCTGCCATCCTTGCTAACGGATTTGTCGTGACTTGGGGTGAGGCTCACTCTGGTGGTAACAACAGGCGTGTGCAGGAACAGCTGAATAATGTGGAGCAAATCCAAGCCACTGAATTAGCTTTTGCTGCCATTCTTGCTGACAGATCTGTCGTGACGTGGGGATCTTGCGGCTTCGGTGGTGACAGTCGCGCTGTGAAGGATCAGCTGAAGAATGTGCAGCAGATCCAGGCCACCAAGTACGCGTTTGCTGCCATTCTGGGCGACGGATCGGTCGTAACCTGGGGTGATCCTGCTTCTGGCGGCGACAGCAGTGCTGTGCAGATGCAGCTCAGGAAGGTGCAGCAGATTCAAGCTTCTGGAAGGGCTTTTGCTGCCATTCTCATCGATGGGTCTGTCGTGGCCTGGGGTGCCGACTTCTGCGGCGGTGACTGTAGCGCTGTGCAGAGTCAGCTGAAGAATGTGCAGCACATTCAATCCACTCGCACTGCTTTTGCCGCCGTTCTTGGTGATGGATCCGTCGTGACCTGGGGTTGTACCTTCGGGGGTGGTGACAGTAGAGCTATGCAAGATCATCTGAAGAACGTGCAGCAGATTCAAGCTGCTGGCTCCTGCTTCGCTGCGATTCTCGGAAATGGGTCCATCGTTCAGATGGGATAGTGCGTGAGATGGGAGTGTGGCGGTGGCAGCAGTTCTGTAGATCACCCTCTGTTTCCGCACAAAATTTGCGCAAGCATTTGCAAGAGCAAGTGCATCCGAGAAGCAGGCAGGACGTCTGCTCGTGAGGCATGGAAATGCTACACACAACCCTGCCCTTTGGAGCTCATGCGCAGACACAGAATCTAATCAAATGATTGATTACTATGGGTAGCTATTAGCCTCTATTAGCCATAGGTACGGTTGGTAATTGAGACAAACCGTTTCGATATGAGCACCTACAGACTTAGCAGCAGGATTCTTTTGAGTTCCTCAATACACTTCTAAAAGAATATATGCGCGCGCTGTCTAATTTTGGAGCCTCCTATTTTAGTCAAAGTTGCTTTGTCCATGGCGAACGACTCGTCATACCCTGAAGGGAGGTTAGTGGGGATGACCTAACATCTATTAAAACTTGAAAAGGGTCCAACAAGAATACGTCCTGTCTAAGGGAGGATAGTAAACCCGCAAGCTCTCTATAGACACCTAAACAGCAAGATCCTCATTCTAAGCGCGGCCAACGACATATAGGTACTCCTGTAGGAATCCTGACGGAAACCTTTGGACGAAGTAGCGCTATGTATAAGAGCCCTTCTGCTACCCAGAAGGTCCATATATACTGCCATTGTGTATGGATTTAGGTCCCCCCCAAGGGCACAACAGGGATGGTCTCTTTCGGTACCTAATTTCATATTGGGAGTATAGAAGGACCTTGTGGGTTCTTGCAACATTACTTACAGCATTCCTTACCTGTACCCTTATTGGAACTCTTCAAAGCACTCTTGTAGTAGAAGCCAGAAATTTAGCTGTGTATGAGGGCTTGTTGCAATGGATTAAGGGGGGCTTCAAGATTCGAGGGCTCGTTTATTACTTCTGAGTGCATGAACTGGAAGTTAGGCATGAAGCGAAAGGGCGTGATTCACAACAGTACCGCCAGCCGCACGTTCGAAAGTTCGAGCCCCGATAACCTGAAGACCCATAGATGCTCCGCAGCTCGATCCGAAAACCTGAACAGTGTGACGAAGGCCATTTGGAAGATGGTTTGCACCACCTACTTCCCAAAAGCCCCTGTCCTTGGCTCAGCGGCAGGCTTTCTGTGTACAAGGGAGTTAGGCGACCACGCAAGTAAGTCTAAAGGCACCGGAGTCGGGGATGAAACACCCTAAGGCTCCATGTGCCCATGTAGTATATACGTAGGCCTTGAAGTACCTATATATAGGGACCCCTTTAAGGCTTACGTAACTACTACTATAAAGGTACATGGAGCCTTTGGGACAATTCTAAACACTCTAGCTGCCTTCTTCAAGCATCTTGCAAGCTCCAAGAGACTCCAATATCCCTTAACTAAGGAGTATACCTCAAAATACAGTAGGATCCCTAATATGATTTAGGGAATATTCCTTAATTAGGATATTCGAGTCTCTGGGCTTGCTCACTGAGTCATGTGACCCTTCCAGTAGGGGCTTCGGGAAGCTGGAGCATGCTTGTCTTCCCTACTTAAAGGACCATGGGACTTAGTAACTATGGTTATAATTAGGGTAATTATACTTATACCCCCAATTAAGGTACTTATAACCTTACTTACTAATCCCATGATCCTCCAAGTAGTTCGCTAGTACGGAGGCGTTACATGAAAGGCCAACAACACCAGACCCTGAACCCGTACTGACGACTGTCGTGCTGTTATTACAAGTGTGTATGGCATCACTAAGTGAGCTCGACGTTTTTCGACTGCGGATCTTTTGTCAGCGTCGAAGCCAAACCCAGCTGTTCTCTCGCAGTTGGCCGAAGATGGCTTTAGGTTGCAAGTCAACTTTTCTGTAGTCATGAGAGTGAACAAGCTGGCATGAAGGTAGTAGAAACCACCGTCTCCATCACGCCCGCCATGGTCGTTGGTGTTGTGGTCATTGTGTCCCTATCTTTGTCGCCATCTTCAGCCTTGATGAAACCATTAATACTACTATCATTATGAGCTTCATCGCCGTCATCATTACCGTCATCAGTACCGTCATCATCGCCAGCATCATCAGCCTCATCAGCATCCTCATCAGAAACATCAACATCAAGTTGGCATTGATTTTGGCATTCCATTTTTTTGACATTCTGGCGCATGTCATCCTTATCACCGTCACCTTAGGAATTGCAGTGCCGCTCCTTTGAATTTCTACCGTGGATTGGTTGCTCATTGGACATCGGTGTTGCCGACATTACTGCGATAAGTTTGAGAAGAACAGCTACTATTGCTGCTGCTGTTTCTGCTGCTGCGCCTCCTCCTTCTGCTGCTCCCAACACCACTGCAGTTGCTGCTACTGAACTTCAACTGCTGTGGCTGCCACTAGTATCCGCAGTATTCTCTGTCTCCTTCCAGCGGGCCACTTGTCGTGTGATGAAGAACTTCTTGAAGTGCAGAGTGGAGGGTTGCGCGAAGTCTTCGGTGCGGACACTCTCTTCATGACATAAAGCAACGGATATCCGCAAGGAGTCTGGCATCTTGAAGCGTTTGGTCTCGATCTTGTGCCGAGCGGCGAAGCGACCTCACACGCCACGAAACACTCGTTTGAGAGAGATGTTCACTACAGCCGGCACTGACATTGCCGTTTCGCAAGGATGACACACTGCATGAGCACGTTAACATCCGACTTCTTCATCTTCGCTTTCTTTATCCGTCCGACTGCTCTGAACCCCTGATTCTTTACGACGCCCTTGACCCTAAAGCCCTCAAGTCTGAAGCCTGTAAAAACCCTTACTTAAAGGATCATGGGACTTAGTAACTAGGGTTATAATGAGGGTAACTATACTTATAACCCCAATTAGGGTACTTATAACCTTACTTACTAAGTCCCATGATCCTCCAAGTACAGTCCGATAGTTGCTTTGTCTTTTCCAGGCTCCGGTCGGGGTTTGAGGGTTTTGATTTTCAGGAGTTGAGAGTCTAAGGTCAAGGGAAGTTTGCGATGTTTTCTCAGGTGAGGTGAGTCAGCAAAAAGGGGATCAAAAGTCCTGCTTCTTTCCTCGGACCCAGTATACTGTAGTCCTTCAGACGCTGAACCCCCCAAAACCCTAAACCCCTGAAGCCCTAATTTCTGTCCCCTGTCTGCAGTATATCCGCATGTTAGCTGGAAGCTTCTAGAACGCTGGAGATCCTAATCAGGCCATGTGCAAGCCGGGGGAGAAGGTCCCATACCTGCTTCCCTGCGATGGCCAGTGCAGGAGACTCTTTGATGGAGTTTTCAAAGCGTCGAGAATAAGAAATGGGTTGAAGAGTTCTTAGTAGGAAAAGGGAGAACGGCAAAGAGGGGCCGTTATAAAGGGCCCCAAGGGACTATCCTAGATCCATCCCAACATTCTCTAGTAAGGACCAGGGACTGGTTGAAGCCTCTGGGGCTTTGGGGAATGCAGTGCGTGCAGTGTGCAACAGTGCAATCTCTGATGGTCCAACCAAGCTCGACATGCTTGGTTCGCTTGCGAAGCCGTGGCGCGTATGGTGTATCCTTTTGTTTCTCATAAAAGAGCTGTGTTGTTTTTGTTTCGTTTCTTAATTCGCCCCCCATTCCGCAAGTTAGTATCGTTCTGAAAGGTTCCTCGTCTTCGTGAGCTTTAGGGGTTAGGGCCTGGGGTCAAGGGTTTTTGGGACTCGCGTGTAGGGTTTATGGCTCAGAGCCTTGCGCACGCACTCTTCACAAGCTTCACCTGGCTTCTCCCACGAAGTTGCATTCTTCCGCACAGACACTTCTCACACGCCTTACCTCGCCATAGGTCTGAAGGTTTAACGAATATTTCTTTGACAGCTACTAGTGTACATACCTATCCCGAATTATACAAGCATAGAGCCCGAAACCCCATTTTCTGAAGGGCCCTATATCACGGATGAGGCACTACGTCGGAGGGATCGGTTTTCAAAGCTACCCAAACCATAAGCCCTAACCCCCAAACCCTATACCCAATCCCCTAAGCCCTATAAACCCTAAACCCCATACCCTAAACCTCGAGCCGCCAAGCCCTAAACCCTTGAAGCCCGAAATCCGGTTCTCTAGGATGCCCAGTAGTACCCTTATTCCCTTTTTGTAGTCCTAGGTTCCTTATAAAGTTACCCAATACCAAAAAGGGAGGCCTTTTTATTCTTAGGTTACTGGGTATCCTAGTTCTTGAGGAGCTACACGGAGGCATGCCAAGTTGAGTGCTGCGACGAAAGTGTCCAATGCGTTCCCGAGAAGGCGATTGCCAGGGGGGGTTCTTCTGCTCAGGGGGGTTTTACTGGAAGGGCTCGGGGGTTAGTTATGGGTGGCCATGGGGCTATAAGTCCCCTAATATGGGTTCTAACTATGGTTACCCGACTTAGAACCCCACATATAACTGCCCATGAACCTCTAAGCAGGGATTCTGAAAGGGAGGATCCCAGCACAGACCTGGTGATCCTTGAACGAGGTCCCCCCTGAACCCGTGCTACTACACGGGTCGGAATATATACCAGCAGTATCCCGGTACATTCTTGCCGTCTACAGTAGAAGCCAGAAAGTTGGAATATCATTATCGTAACCCCTTTAAGGTAAAGTATAGGGGATCCTACCATTAATCCATATTCCAACTTTCTGGAGTTCCCTTTATAGGTTTTTACTTTAATGTACTACTCTCATTTTAGAGGGCTCCAGAGGCCTCTGGTGAGGAACTTTGGAGTGCATCGGGAGATGATAGGATCCTTAAAGGGAACTCCAGAAAGTTGGAATATGGTTTCAGGGTAGGATACCTTATAATTTACCATAAAGGGTTTAGGATAATCATATTCCAACTTTCTGGCGTTTACCTTAAGGGAGTGTGGTGCAAGGGGGGAGGGTACAAGGAATCCTTCGAGGAGAGTAGTAGGAAGACTTAGGGATCACTAGGCTATGTACCCCCTTCGACCCCCTCCCTTTCGTTGGGGAACCTTTTGGCTACAACGTGTTTCAGGGGTTAAGTTTCAGGGTTTAGGCGCAGGATAGTCAGTCAAGAATGGCCTAGAGCCCATGGCCCTAAATCCCTGGACCTTGAAATTTGAAGCCCACTCTAAACCTGAATCCTAAGTCCCAAATCCCAAACCCTAAACCTCGCACCCCTCAATTCCTTATCCCAATCCCTACAAATCGCAAGCCCTCGCAGTGGAGGGTTGGTATTTGTATATACTCTGGTCCCTACATAAGTATACGAATACATGCCCCAGAACCATATTCGAGTTATGATTATGATCCCGAAGACCCCCTAAAGGGTCCCTAAACCCACTAAACAGTAAACCCTAGTCATAATCTAGTTGCGGCCACTACAGATCCCGCAACCCCCCAAAAAAACCAAAAAAAAAAGCGTCAAGCTTGGCTTCGTCCCAGGGCGTCAAGTACCAGAAGCCCTATGCGAACTTCACAGGGTGCCAGCCCTGCTTTCCTTGCGGTTTCGGGCCTAAATTCGGGGCTCAGGGCCCCTAAACCCTAAAGCCCCTAAGCCCTAAACCCCAAAGCCCCTACACCCCAAAGCCCCTAAGCGCCAAACTCTAAACCCTAAGCTCTAAAGACTTAGAGTCTGAAGTCTGAGGGTTGGGGTTTCGGGGTTGAGAGCTCTCCTCACCCTACACGAAGCTACTTTGGGGTTTCAACCCAAAAGGCCCCATAAATCCTGGAGTCCGATAGCCATTGCTGGAGCGGCTATAGCCCTGCAACCCTAGATCAATCGTCCGAAAACCCTACACCCGAACCACTTTCATCCCTAATCTGCTACTCGTGCTCAACTAATTCTCCTTTCCCAAACCCAGGCCCTAAAGCCCAGGAGATTCTTGAGGGGCAACCTGCCAAGAAGTACAGAACTTGCTGTTGTTGCCGGGTATGCATGAGCTGTGAGCTTGATTTGATTTGGCATTTCGCCGTGCCGATCCGGGCACAACCCCAGCAGCACTCGAGTCGTCAGATTTCGTCGCGCGGACCGCATGTGACCAGGTTGACCATACCAGCCAGACGAAAAAATACACTTCATTCGCTTTGAATCCGTCGGCGGCTTCATTTACATAGCAGCATGCAACCTTGGCAAGACTCGCCTTGTTTCCGGCACTGGAAGCACTCAACGCCCCGACACTAAAAGCCATTTGGTTGTCGGGCCGGAACTCTCTAAAATCATAGGGGAAAGCCCCGAAGCGTTGAGGGTCCAAGGATAGGGGAGGTCTTCAATGGGGGCTTATCATCAGTTTTAGGGCTTTCTTCTCGTGAAGAAGTGCAAAACCCGAAACCACCACTTTCGGGCGTTTTCAGTGGCTTTATGGAGCACACCTCAGAGTCTTAAGTCTTAAGGCCTTTGGATACTTGGGGAATTTGGGGGAGAGACCCTAAAGCCTAGATCCAAACCCAACCACCAACCGAAAACCTTAACAAGCTTGAACCCCGAAACGCGATCGCCTGCAAGTGCCGACGAGATACAGTAGAAGGCCAAAAAGTTGGGAACCCAATAGCCTCAATCCTTGAGAGTAATGCATAGGGAATCCCAGCACTATTTGGCCTTAATCGGTTTTGAAACTTTATGGGGTTTACTGTAAGAGGTACTTGGGCCCACGGGCATTAATGAAAGCCCAAGCCCGAAACCGTCCCTCTGGTCGCAGGTATGGGTCCCATCCTGACTGTACCTCCGCCGCCACGCGCAGTGGAGGTTCGCCGAGCTATCCGGGTTACGTGATTCAGGAACCCGAAGCTTAATTAAGCCCTCTCCAACCCTTAACTAAACCCTAAACCTTTTTATAGGGAGTTTTGTAGAGGTCTAAAAGGTGTTTGAAGGTCCTTAATTAATGAGTTTAAAAGACCGACAGAGATCGATAGTCTCAGGGTTCAGAGGTTAAAAGATTGAAAATTTGGGGGTTTCACAGGGTTGAGAGCCAGTGTTTCCGAGGCCCAGGGGTGTTGATGGCGAGGAGCGATACGGGCTGTAGGCCAGGATGTCGGGGATTCTACTAAGATTAATGCTGTTCCACCCGGGATTTGAATGGAAGGGTATGTTGAGGATTGGGGTAGTAATAGTATGTGAGCATTGTATCCCCGCTCGTAACCGCAGTAATTTCACGATGTTTTACCACAAAAACTCCCATCACCTCCGGCCCCCACCCCAACTCAAGTCTAGCTGTTAAGACCCCTACCTTAGGTCTGGGCTTGGGGATATTTCGGGCGCCGTGTTTCAAAGCTATAAGCGCTGCGAACCTTTTACCCGAAGCAAACTCCCAACTTCGAGGAATAAGGGGTTAGGGATGCCAACCCTAAACCGTCGGAAGACGGTGAGACGGTTCAGGGCCTGTGGGATGGCTATTGAAGGTCTGGGTTTTGGCTGATACAGGAGTTTTTAGTGATGTATAGCCACTTATAGCGAAAACGATGGCAGTAAAATAGACACTTACAATGACTTGGTAACCCTAGACCTAAACCCTAAACCCTAAGCCTAGCCTAGTTACGATGACCCTTCAATTAAGTGGCGTCTGTCTCAGGTCTCTTCTCCATTGCCATGTCGTGGGCCTCAGTTAGAGGGGGATTGGAATTGTTTTTGCCTGTTGGTGCAGGGCTTGTAAGGTTGAGTCATTTTTTTGCGTTGATCAAGTTCTGCTTCTGGGAGGGTTGGTTATTTAGAGCTGCAGGCTTTTATGTACTTTTGCCGGGTCGGACTTTGGAAGTTCATTTATGTTGCCCTCATTCTCCCCGAACGAAGTCCGTTTTAGAACCCCCTTAAAACCATAATCCCGACACGCTAAACCTGAAACCTTACATCGCCGGGCCGAAAATTTCGACCCACTTGTGCATCATCTTACATACAAGCTCTTGCGGAGTAGCGGAGTACCTCAAAGTGCCGTTTAACCCTACGCAGGCCAGCGGAGTAATTACTACGCCGTTTTAAAAACATACTACTTTTTAGCTCCGGCGGAGGCCCCAAGGCTCACTTGTGTTAGGAGTCTATGGGGAAGAGAGGGTGGAGGCCCATGTGTTGTAAAGCATGTTGAGGCTAGTGGGTCGAACTATCGGCCCGGCGCAGCCTCCATTTTCGAGGCGAGAGTCCCCTCCTCTGCAGTCTTGGTGAAAGCAAAGCCGAACACTTTCACCCTGGGGTTGTTTGGGCTGGACTCTGGCACCCAAAATTGACGCTGCGGTGGGACGAAAGTTTGACCTACTCCTTGTTCGTCGAACACAGGCCCCCATTCCCCCATAGAATCCTAACAAGCAGGACCAAGCTGCTACTCCTCCGGAACATTAAAGTAGTATAATTTCAAAACGGGGTATAAAATACTCCGCTGGCCAGGCCACATAAATCGCACTTTTCGGTACTCTGCTACTCCGCAAGATGTCTTAAGACAAGACAGATCCCGTAGGTCAAAACTTTTGTCCTCCCGATGCCTCACCGGGACCTTTCTGTTCAGCAAACCTCGCCAAACTTATTGCTGTGTGACCTAATGACCTCCTTCAGGTCCCCTAGACAGACATCCCCGTCTAAGAAACGATTCAGAAGGCATCGCCGGGCCGAAAGTTTCGACCCACTTGTGCATCATCTTACATACAAGCTCTTGCGGAGTAGCGGAGTACCTCAAAGTGCCGTTTACCCTACGCATGCCAGCGGAGTAATTACTACGCCGTTTTAAAAATATAATGCTTTTTAGCTCCGGCGGAGGCCCCAAGGCTCACTTGTGTTAGGAGTCTATGGGGAAGAGGGTGGAGGCCCATGTGTTGTAAAGCATGTTGAGGCTAGTGGGTCGAACTATCGGCCCGGCGCAGTAAACCCTGACTTAAAACCCTAAGAGGCCCCTGAATAGGCCTCTATCCACAAAACAGCTCAGGCTGCTGGCGCTAGCGGCAACTGGCGGAGGCCGGACGTAGTGAGTCTGAGCCAAAGGCAGCAACATCGGGCCATAAAGTCACTAGTCACTAGTCATAGGTTCCATAGTGGTTCCTTCTTGAGGTTCATATTTAGCATCCTATAAGGTAATCACGAAAAGGACCTACTATGGAGCCTATGGGTAGTCTTTCGTACATGCTTATGACGGTTTCGGGGGGGGATTAAAAGGGTTGCAGAAGGAGTTTATGAGGCCTAGAGCATATAAGATGAAGCCCCCCACTTGCTGATATCATTTACAGTTTGGGGGGGGTTAGCGTGTTAGGCTTATGTCAGGTGGTCTGACGGTTTCGGGTAAAGGGTTTAGGGTTTGGGGTTTAGGGTTTGGTGGGTTCAGGGAGTTTTTGGTTCCGAGTTGGGGTTGGGCGGCTGGCGGTTCTGCAGGTCCGGGAGCTTACACGGATAATTCCCTCTGTGTCCTCAAGCCCTCAACCTAACCAGAACCCTGCAACGATCCTTTAAAGGAGTCCTTATGGTACTTATTGGAGGGTCTAGAAAAACGCCTAAACCTCAAAATCCCCAAAACCCTCAACTCCTAATTATACTCCTTCAGCACCTTTAAACACCTAAAACATAATCCTCTAAACCCTCGAAGCCCCAAACCCTAAAGCCCGACACCTCAAGGGCCCTAAACCAAGCAAGCCCTCAAAGCCCTAATCCTTAAGCCGTCATAGCCTTCGAAACGACAAAGCTGGCCAGCCCGAAACCCTCAAAGCCCCAAACCCTCAATAACCGAAGTTCTTCGTTGTAAGTACCTTCATTGGGGTTATAAGTCTAGCTACCCTAATTATAACCCTAGTTACTACGTCCCATGATCCTTTAAGTGCCCTAAACCCCTACACCCCTGAACTGCGGTTTGCAAGCCTTCCCTTTCTTCCGTTTCCCAGATAGCGGCCTGGGCCGCGGCAGGCCTGTGTTTTAGGTGACTCAGGGCTTATGTTGGGCATACAGTAGTTATAATATAAATAAATAAATAAATAAATAGAGATATATATATATAGATATGTTTATGTTTATATTTATACATATATATATATATATATATATATTTATATTTATATTTATATATATATATATATATATATATATATATATATATATATATATATATATATATATATATAGGTATATAGGTATATGGATATACATAGGTCAGGGCCTCGGGCTTACGGCTTTGGGTTTCAGGCCGAGGGTTGAGGGTTTGGAGTTTCGGGGTAAGGGAAGAAGGGTCTAGAAGTTTAGGGTTAAGGCTGCTAGATGGGAGTTTCCGAAAATAGGGGACCCTAATATAGTACCCTCAATAGTAGGATCCTTATTATAAGGACCCCAAATAAGGTACCCCTAATTTTCGGAAACTCCCAGATCGGGTGTTCGAAATCTCGGGCAACAGTATGCGACTCTGCCGGGACTGAAGCTCAGGATCCATGGCGTTCAGGGCTTAGCGGATTTGCGTGCCCGGACAAATGAAGCTCAACCTTGGACCCTCGTGTCAAGCCTCATATTGAACCTTCAACTCTCCAAGATTCGAGCACTTCGTCACCATGTCGGGGTTTCGCTCATTTGGTCAAGACCCTGTTAAAGCTCTCACATAGGCCTTCTAAGTAGACCCCAACCCAGCGAATGAGTTCCTAGCACAAGCCGAACATAGAACATCTCCAAGAGCCATTCCAGGGGCAGCCCTGGGACACTGCACAAGAGCGTGAGTTTTTTTTGGGGGGAGGGGGGGGGGGGGGTGCTGCTGCCGGGGGTAGCGGCCAGACCCAAAAAACGAAAAACCTTAAACGCCAAACCATCTATATATCTATATAGTTTCTCTCTCTCTCTCTCTCTCTCTCTCTTATATATATATATATATATTCTTTATGTAGCTATATATCTACATATCTTTACTTGTTCGGTACATATATACAGATCATTATTATCATTATTACTATTATTTTTTATCGACAGTATAAGTACAATTATGATCATTATCATTGTAATGTTTATTGTATGTTTTGTAGTTTTATTTTTTATTAATAAATAAAAATATTTTTGTTATTATTATATATATATATGTATATGCCAGGTCTTCCGGCTTGTTTCTCGGCCTGGCTTTGGCGATCTCCACCTTCTCCTTGCAAGGCGCCTTGGGGCTCCTTTAAAGGGTGCCTTTAAGGGCTCCTTGAAAGGGTACCTTTAAGGGCTCCTTTAAGGGGTCTATAGGGTTGTAGAGGTTTTAGGGTTTAGTGTTTTACGGTTTAGGGTTTAATTTCGGGGGTTTTGAGGGTTTTTGGTGTTTTGGGGTTTAGGGTTTTGGGGTAAGTGCTTTGCAGAGTGTGGCTGGCTGTTTTTCAGGAGTCAGTTTGCAGCTTATTAGAATAATTTCCCGATGTAGTTCATGATTGCTTCTTGGTTTCCGCAAAAGGGTATTGTCAGGATTTCTGCAATGGAACCTATATTATGGGGGCCAGGATTTGGTACAGTGTAGGGTTTTATGCTGTCTTTTGGAGTCCAGGGTATAGGTTCTTGTTTGTTCCAAGTGTGTCGCAGATTTTGTTGTTGCTATTAGGCATCGTGCGCGTGCAAGGTAAGGGCTTGCGGACTTCTGATTCTTTCAGTGTCTACGGTTGCCTTGGACCTTGGATTCTTCGAGGATCTGGGGTTGTCCTGGTTCTTAAAGCATAATGGCACAGAATTTAAAATGAAAGTACATGTATAGGGAGAGACTACACGGGAGCCTATATGTATGTATGTATGTATGTATATATATATATATATATATGTATGTAGTCACAACTTAATTCAATTCAATGGCCAGACTGAACCCTTAGTTGTTCTATTTGTTTTTGCCGATATTCACAGAATACAGAAGCTCTTCGAGGTTGTGACATCATGGAAAGCCACGAGGTGGGCAGATGGGAGCAGAGGCCGGGTGACTTTTAGGGTTTTCAAAGGGAGCTCAGTTTACACAGGGTTTAGGATTTAGGGTCTGTAGTTCAACGGGGGCTCAATCTACATAGGTTGTTATGAGCTTGTTGTCAGTCTGCTAGTTCTCGTGATGGACCTAGACGCTTTGGGACATTCGTGTCTTCATGTATGCAGGTTCGCTTGTCTGCCGCCATATCTATCTCAATAAAAATTTAATGTGCACACTCCAAGGTGCCAACATCTTCGTACTTCTACACACTCATATTCAATTGTAGTTCTGTAGAGTCCCAAATCCCCAAAGAGAATGCCCGAGACCTTAACCGCACAAAACCCAGAACTCTCCACTCAAAGCACCGACAGCCTAAATCACGACCTTGTGACTAATCCCAAGCCCCCAAAGCATAAGCTTCAATTTCTAGACCCATAGTTAGTAGCTCTTGTAGAACCCTTACCGAACTCTTATATCTGCAAGTAGTAACCCTTATCGGACCCTTAGGGTTTGGGTTTAGGGTGGGATCCTTGCCAGTCTGCACAGCTTATGTTATCCGGCAACAAACAACGAAGATTTCAGTCAGACACTTCGAGGGTTAGGGTCTACAGAGTTCGATCCGACAACCAAGCCTGTACCACGGATGCTTGGTCCTTTTCCCCTCATGCTAAGCCCCGCAAATCCGAAACCCCTAACTAAAGCAAAGTTTGCAACCCGGAAGTGCAAGCCCCAACAGCCACACAAGCCCAAATCCAGGCCCTGGATGCCCTGAATACCTTAAAGCCTGTTTGCCACACCCTAAACCCTGCACCGGCAGAGCCCGAAAAGCCTGCCAGGCCCAGCTACCTGATGGACTTCTCAGTGTCCAACACCATGCTACAGGCCTGGCCCGATCCTGAGTAGTGAATGCAACCATTGCAAGTCTGCGAATCACTTCAACTACCCAGACCCCCGGGAGGATCCAAAAACAATCCCTTAATGGGGGCTCCTACAAACTACCCTTAGTAGTATAGGCCCCCAAATTAGGGTATCTACTTTCTGGATCCTCCCGGGGGTCTGAGCAGCAGAAGCTCTAGCAACTGGCAGGTTTCGAAATTGTCGCAGAGGTGGTAGTTTCGTGGACCTCTAAGTTCCAATCCTGAAACCAAAGCATCGTCTAGGGCTTACCACAAACGAATCCTCTGAAAGCCTGTAATGTTTCGGCTTATATAGTGTTCTTGGCACCAAATCTCACAAACAACCGAGTCCTTTGCGCCTTCCGGGTTGAGGGCCAAGGCGAAGGAGACCTCCAACTTGAAACCAGGGTTCATGGGCTCCAGTTTCTCAGGTTTTCCGGTTCAGGGTCTGCGGTTTAAGGTGCATACCATTGGTGCTTGAAACGTCTTCTAACTATGATTAGTCACCACTACGGCTTCCTGCGTTCATCACGGAATAATACAGGGGTCGGAAGAATTTGCAGTACCATTTCCCAAGGGCTCTTTACTGGAATTAGACGATAATATACCAAGAGACAACACTGTAGCCATTATCATTTTTATCATCGTAGTTTCGCTTTCAACAGATGGGAGTTTCCCGAGAAACACCTTATTTTGGGGTCCTTATAATAAGGATAATACTAATTAGGGCACTAGGGCCCCTATTTTCGGAAACTCCCATACGTTTTTAAGGCCCCTGTATTATCCCTTAAAAATCCATTAAGTAACCCTTATCGCCTCCTTTAAAACGCTGAAGTCTGTTCCCCCACATATTTCACTTCCCTCTCTTGTTGCAGGCGGACACAGGGGCTGCTCCAACTCGCGGAAGTGGGAAGGCAAAGGGTGCCCTGGAGGGTTTTTAGGGTTTGGGGGGTTTGAGGGTTTTGGGGGGTTTGGGGGGGTTCGAGGGCTTTCGATTTCAAGGAACTTGGCTATTTTAGGCCTATTTGCGGACATTTCAAGGTAGTAGCTGCGTGAGGGTGTTGGCCCAGGTCAAAGGTGTACAGTAGGATGTAGGACTACAAATGCCAAGGCTCATAATGACTCGTCACTGGGATGGTAACAACACGAACAGCCGTGCTAACGAAGAGGGACATTTCTCAGCAGCGTGCCCGTTCAACTGTTGGCCGGAACGGATCAGCGAGTGTTTGATGCAGACATGTCTCGCAAACAGCAGCAGAGGAGCAAGAAAATGCTGCTCGTGGTACGCTGTGCTCGCGCAGATGCTCCTTTCGAGATATGACAAACTGCATCCTGCTGGACCCTAAATCCTCCATCCTGATGCCTAGCAGCAAACCTAGCAGCAAAAAAACGAAACACTACCTAGACCCTCCATCTACCCTCTATTAGGCCCTAAGTGCCCCTTATTTGGGACCATATACCCCTATTTGAGGGTACAAGGAGGGTCCTGGTACACCTTGAAGCAAAGCCCCGCACTTCCTTTCTCGTTGAACGAAGCCAGCACCCAGCAGGCGCCAGTGGGGGCATGGTACATTTTCAGTGTTTTGGCTTTGAGTTTCTGTTACGCCACTCTTGCATAGGTTTTAAGATATCCCAAACCCTAGAAGCCCTACCCGAAGCCATGTAAACCCAATAAGCCCTGAAAGCCAAGCAGTAACAAACGAGCGCAGGTGGTAAATTCCTGCTCGGTGAAGGGCTTGGCGGATGCACAGAAGGCAAGACGAAGATAGCCGCAACCTGATACATGTACGGTTCAGGGCTTAGGCAATAGAGAGGCCTGAACAATCAGGGATTTACACAGGGGTCTGACTGGTTAGTGGGGTTTCTGACACATTTAACGGGAATTCCTTAAGGTCGTGAGGTGTTGCTGCGTCCACTTATAGTCCTTATCAGTATACTCGAAAACCTGCTCTAAAAATAACAGCTCCAACATGTTGCAGGTAGACCTTGACCTCTGATGCGAATCCCAGCCACCAGCCCTTGAATCATATTGTGCGGTTGCTAGTCGAACGTGCCTGCATCGGAGCTCATGCTCGCAACCTACCTTGTGATACTGGTCTGCCAGTGTTCTTATGTTACGTTCATTGCTTATGCCGTGTTTGCTTGTGCTGCGAGTCTCATCTAGTAGGTACAGAGGTTTGCCTACTAGATCCACCTGCTGAAGCTAGCACTGCCTTCACTCGTGTAAACGTTGTATTGTTAAGACCTATGCAACACTATGAAACCTTGATACAAACCCGATGAAACCGTAATTCAAAGCCTTGACCCTTGAACATCTTAAACCCTACTGTTAGGTTTGTACTGATGATGCTCACACCCTGAAGAAAAGCATAAAAGCGGCCTTGAACATAACCTCTATAACACTCTGCTTTGGCCGTGAACTAAAAAAGTGCTGCGCAGTCCTTACAGAACCTCCAAAGAAGCCATGCGAAGGGTTATGACCCTCGGACTGTGTATTGAATACATTTCCCTGTGCAAGTAGCCTACAGAAAAAATAAAAGACCTAAACCGGCTAAACCCGTTTCCGTGTCGCCAGTGCAGCGGCCACGGCATCTGCCAGAGCTTTGCAGAAGGCCTGATCCTGAAGCTGCTGACTGAAGGGCTCGGTTTTTCGATTTTTTTGTAGACTTTAGAGGCACTACATGGGCTTTTTGGGGTTTATGTACATGGTTTAGAGGTTCTCATGGGGTTGCCTGTTCTTACACTAGTTCTCAGAGATGTATGCTGCTTTTCAGAGTTTTGTGAGTGGTGTTTGCACGTTTGACGGAGGCTTTCAAAGGGGATCTGTTTAAAACTCTTACCTCAAACCCCTAAAACCCCTTAACCCTAACCTGAGACCCTGAGCCCCGAAATAGGCTTCAAAAGGCGTCTCCTTGGTCGCCAAGCTGCCTCTTTAAGTGGGCTCGTAGGGCCTTGCAAGAGGCCTCATAGATATATGCTGCCTTTTAAGGGGAACTCATGGGGCTTATACGGGATCGTATGGCCTCACTTCAGCTTCTGGGCCTCTGATCATATTATAGGCCATTGCATTGTATCGTATTATATTAAACTGTATTGTATTATATAATTCCCGGCGATAGTCGGATTGCATATCATCTGCAAGACTCTGAGAGCCGACCGCACCATAAATGCCATCGCCAGCATCGGAGTCTCCACACCGACAGCAGCGATTCTTAAACGTAGCACTTAGTAACTTTAAAGTAGCCGGTTTGAGCGCTTGCAGCCGGTTCAGGGGTCAGCGGTGTAGGGTTTAGGGGTTTAGGGTGTAGAAAAGGGTTTAGGGTTCCGGTTTGGCGCCTGACAGGGTTTCAGAAGGGATCTTTGCGGTTTGATAGGCCACCCTGGTCTGAACCCATAAGCCCCGACTCAAACCGAAGAGGCCTAAATCTGAGGCCGTGCACGCAAGCCGTAATGTCTGAGACCGAAACAAACCCCAAACCCCAAAACCCTACACCCTAGACTCCAAACCCAAGCCCTAAATCCTGATCCTGCAAGCTTTTTGTACGGTTTTCTCAAGCTGAGGTGTAGCCTTCTGCCAGGCACCGCCTGATGCATTGTAGTCTTGAATCTGCCAACATCCTGCCTTGCGATTCCGGGTTGAATTTCGAGAGTGACAGTTCGGGATGTTGGGTGGGGTTTCGGAGGGTGATACGGGTCCAGGGTTTACGAGTTTGGCTAGAGCCTGGAGAATTTACAGTGTACTAGGATGCCCAGTAGTACCCTTATTCCCTTTTTGTAGTCCTAGGTTCCTTATAAAGTTACCCAATACCAAAAAGAGAGGCCTTTTTATTCTCAGGTTGCTGGGTATCCTAGTGTAGGTTTTCCTCGTTTGTATTTCGAGGGTTTGCAAGCTTAAACCGTGGTTTTGCAGATCGAGAGCCTTGGCAACTCCAAGTGCTCCCTAAACCTAAACCCCACCGGAAAACCCTTAAGGACCTACCTTTTTAAGGACTTATATAAGGAAATCATAGTAAGGAACCCTGAAAAGGTAGGTTAGTCAGGGTTAAGGTAAACCCTAAACCGTGGCTCGAACAGATACATGAATCAACTGCCTGCGCCTGCAAGCCAGAGTTGCCCCTGCCCTAATCGTCGTCTCGGACAGCTCCACCGCACTTTGCAAGAAGAATAGAAGGGGAGTGTTTGTCAAGACCGACTTGGATGCGGAAGTGAACATCGCAAGCATGACGCTAGGATGGGCACAGACTCGCTATACTATGTGCTGGGGCAAAACCTTGGCGTGGATCGTGTGGCAAGTGGAGGAACACATCAAAGAGCTTCGCGCCAACTTCCCGGGCCACATCATCGATGTCATTTGTTGGTGGTGTGGAAACGAGATCTCCGGCCAGTGGGGCTGCGTTCCCACGCGGCTTGGTCCAGGGCTCGCATACCGCGACCCGAACGTGACCACGGAGACGGTTGCTCGGAAGGTAAGGCGAGCCGCAGACGTGTTAGCCGCCGATTGGGATCGCCAGACGCTAGCTTTGACTACTTGGAGGATCATGGGACTTAGTAAGGTTATAAGTACCTTAATTGGGGTTATATGTATAGCTACCCTATTTATAACCCTAGTTACTAAGTCGCATGATCTTTTAAGTAGTGTTCTTATTGATGGTTATGTGGCCGCGAAGCTGAGGTGAATTTTTGTGTGGTATTACATTTTTGCTTTTGCTTGCACTATTTCCTTGGCGGCATCGTTCTTGTCAGTGCTAGGTTTGCCTCATCTTTGCTGGTCGTCCCTTTTCTCATCTTCTTGTTGTATGAAAATGTCGTGCGGCATACTGGGTGGGTTGCAACCCTAAACCCTAAACTGTCAGGTTGGTTGGGCCGACTCCCGCGCAAGCCTTCACAGAGGTCTCGAAGCCGCACACCCTCAGCAATGGAGAGAAGCAGAACACGTGGAGACACCGTGATCTCCAAAATTCTAAACCCAACAACCCTCAAATCCTAAGCCGCAAACCCTAGAACCCTAAACCCCAAAACCCCCGGAGCAGCAACATCTCCGGATGCCAGCAAAAGGACAAGGCCACGAGGCCCGCGACAAGGACAGCAAGAGAGCTTAAGCAGGGTTACACGCAGGTTATCTACAACTGCAACTGTGTGTTTATCCTAACTCCCAACTAGTCTGCTTATAGCTTTCTAAGTTCCTTGATCCCTACTACTTGGATCATTCCGGCAAAAAAGCTGGTGTGGACTATAGATACGCTGCCCGTACCCTCTTCTACATAGCCCCACATTCAATTTTTTGCAAACAACTATTAAAACCACTATGAAAACCAGTAAATAATGCTTATATTCAGACAAAGCCATACGTAGAAATCCTTCAAAAAGGTTTTACAACCCTTAGAGGACCCTTCACAAGACCTCTTGCAAAGCCCTTCCCTGCCAGTGTGCACCGGGCTACTCGGATCCCGAGTGCCGCACCGGGCGGAAGTCCCAACGCCGCTCGCACGCAATCTTCGGAGGGAGGAGCCCTTGTTTAAGAACCCTAAACCCCTAAACCCCTAAACCCCTAAACCCCTAAACCCTAAACCCTAAATCCTAAACCCTAAACCTTTTACGTCTATGCGCATTCTGTAGGGATCCTCTACAAGGAGCAGTAGCGACTATGTACAAGGGTTCTGTATGGGTTTTTGACTTTTATGTGGTTACAATTACAATGTTTATTCGGGTTTTACAAGGGCTTTGTACGGATTTAGATGGTCATATACGAGCGTATGCGGGCTTTTAACAGTTATTCTGTTACCCAAAGCCGTATAAGCAACATGGTTGCAAGGGTTTGTAGCCTGTTGTATACGAGTTCCTGTCGATGTTAGGATTTGAGGGTGGGCGGCCCTTTTCTGATGGGTTTTGTTGCGAATCTCTGGGTTGCCTTTTGGCTTACCGGTAATGAAAGGGAAGTAATGGAGGCCAATCCCCATCTCTAAAAGTACGCTGATAGGAACCTTGAGAGGGACCTGTTTAGCTGTTTACGAAAGACTTTCTCGTCGGCGCGATCAGGCTTTGAGCAAACAACAGGTCCAGCGGTAGTACGAAAGGTTACAGCTCCAGCTGAGCGTATGCTTCAGCTTCAGTTCAAAAAGCAGTAGCTATGGCAAGAATGGCTAGCGTACTCAAGTATTCAAGAGTTCGAGATAGCATGTACTAAAAGTCATCGTAAATTTGTTGATCCGCGCCCAACTCTTGCCGCTGTGTTCTCATGAATAGCCAAGGAACTGCTTACCTGCTGTCCCTCTTCACAGGCGCTCAGAACATGGCCCGGAACGGAAAGCCTTAGTGTAGTTGATCCTGTTTCGTGCATGTTTAGAGTGCACCCCAAACCCTAAACTTATTGGCGGTAAACTGCAAACTCAACTTTGCAACTTTTGGGGGTCTTATAAGGTAGTCGATTCTGAAAGTTTCAACGTTTGTTTCCTGTGGTTTTGGGCCAGTGAGCAAACCCAGCCCCACAAACCTGAAACACCAAATCCTGAGCTTTGAACCTGAACCCTAACCCCTAAACTGCAGTTTTTTGACCTTGGGATTTCAGATACTGATGGGTCGTCTCGCTCTTCAAGGATTCTGTTATTATGTTAAGGCCTTGACATCAGAGGTCGCCTTCTATAGGGTCCACATGTTTGTGAAGGTGTACATGATTAATATCTGTTTGTGTATGATCCGTCCAGCGTGTGTGTACATATACATATGTACATATGTACATATATATATATATATACGTTTGCTCATTTGTTTATGTAGTTACATATGTGCATATAAACATATATATATATATATATAGGTACACATGCTTGCTCATGCTTGCATACCTATGTGCAAGACATAGAATACATGCATCTGCCTGTAATTCAGCTATCTGGTCGTAGCCGGCTATTAACACAGGTCTACGGGTTGCTGTAGAATCCAGACCTCTTCGTTTAACACCTGTTTTCTTCGAAGGCCGTATTGACGGATTCCGACTATGAGCATGTTTAGGGAAAATGAGGCGGCGTGTCGTCCAGGAGTCTACGCAAGATCCTAGATCCTGGAGCGCCACCCCCTGCAAACTCTGACCCTCCCTGAAAACACCCGATTTACACACCTAAGCCCTAAACCCTTTTTAAAATCCTTAACGCCTTGAGGAACCAACCCTATATACACCCAGTTAAAGCCCTCCCTAAACCCTAATCCCTAAACCCTAAACCCTAATGCCCTCCTGCTTCAGTTTCCCTGGGTCTGGCAGGCTTCCTGGGAGTTGACCGCATTTATCTTGGCGAGGCCTTGGGCTAGGGCCCGGTCTATACTTAAAGGATCATGGGACTTAGTAACTAGGGTTATACTTTAAAGAGCTCCTTTAAAGGGGATCTATAGGCGTTCTATGATAAGAGGGGCTTTTAGGGTCTACTTAAAGGATCATGGGACTTAGTAATTAGGGTAAAAAGTAGGGTAACAATTCTACTAAACCCCAATTAAGGTACTTATAACCTTATTTACTAAGTCCCATGATCCTCCAAGTAGGGCTTAAGGCCGTTCGGGGAGGGATTGAGCTTTAGGGGCTGGGTTTTTGGTAGGAGCCAGAAAGTTGGAACATGGCTTCAGGAGGATAAGTGCAAGGATCCCCTATCCTTGACCTTAAGGGCATGGGGACAATGTTGTTCCAACTTTCTGGCTTCTACAATAAGGACTTAAGGGTTTAGGGACTAGGTTCGGGGTTTAAAGGCGGGTTTGAGACCAGGTTCTGGGTTTAGAGTTTAGCCCCACCCGGCTTATGGGGCCTTTCCCGTGTCTTTATGGGGTCTTATATAGAGCCCTAAGGGTCCAAAGGATCCAATAATTAGGTACTCGGTTTTAGGATGGTAGCTATGTAGGTTAGGAGTTTGGAGATTATATGATTACTAGGTACTTGGACCATTGGGGGAGTATTCGTGTGGTTTTACGATGGCTTGTCTGTTTATATAGTACGTAGTACATAGGGTCTCTACCGCGACGGATCCCGAACGCTAAACCCGAAAAGAACACAAAACTTCAACGACCGGTTGAGTCAGGACACCCACGAAACCCTCGCCTGAACATCTACAAAGACCTATTATTTGAGCAATAGAAGCCCCAGATCCTCTATAAGAGAAAAACCGCCGCGGCAGCAGAGGAAAGCATCATGTATACTAGAGGCTTAAACAACCCAAACAACCAAGTACATAGCAGAGTGTAGTCGTGTAGACCCCTGCTTAGAACCCTCCCTGCTTTAAATAAGTGTCTCAGTCTTCACATACATTAGAATCCTTCTCATCCTTTTCATCATCTTAATCGAGGGAGGGCGTGTTTGAATCAACGAGCTCTAGTGGCAAATCCGGTACGTGCATTGACGGTGCGAATACTATCAGCCATAGCACAAATGAACAAGACAAGCAAAAGCACTAAACTCTGCAACCCGTGCATCAACAATTACGGATGCCATTACTTTGCCGCTAAATATTTGTAAGACATTTTATTCCATGAAATATGCCGAAACCCTATTCTGATTCTTGAGGCCCTATATACTAAACTCTATGAGGAACCCTTGCAAGAACCCTCATAGTATCCCTTCAAAGGAGCCCTACTCTACTTCCTAAGGCACCTCCCACCCCTTTAAACCCTAAACCCCCCAGCCCTGAGCCGACTTCACTGTGCTGCCTTCCACAGCTCTCCGTGGGCACGCTGAAGTTGGCCACGCTGGGCGGGCTTGGGCTTTGGCGCCCCGTCCTTTCTAATAATGTGGGCCTTAATGATTAGAATAGGGTCCCTTTAAAGGGATCCCTTGAGAACGAATTCTACAAGGGTTACTAGTTACTAGAAGGGCTACTAAAAGGGTTCAGTATAGGGGCCTTAAAAATGTAGAATAGGGTTTTGGGGCATAGTATACTATACTTATACTAAGGAACCACCAAGATAGTGTAGGTAATTATTATAAGGCCTCTACTGTACGGAGTTGTGGCGCGCTCTTTTCTGATAGGGGATTGTAGGGGGGTCGACAATGGGCGTTCGAACGATTTTGTTTGAAGTTCTTGTGCATGGGGTCTTGCTAGGGGCTTTGGAGGTATCTTCTTGGGCTTGTCGCTATTCATAGCCTTTCAGTCCTGGTAAGCTTTCGGTCATCGTGGGATCGAGACAGGAAAAACCGCAAGGATCCTTGCTGGGAGTCTCCGGAGACTTCTTCTGGAGTTTTGGAGTGCTCTGTACTATAGGGGCCCAAGTATTTACCTAACGGTTCAATATAGTATAGGGGTTAAGTATAGGGGCTTAAATAATGTAATATTTTGGGAGTTCCTTGTTATACTTGTAGTATAAAGGGCCCGAGAATCCTATTCTAATCATTCAGGCCCCTATAGTACTCGAACTGTCACTTACGGTGAAAGGGGTTTGGGGTTAAGGAATTGCACCGCTTCCTGGAGTTCCTAATTCCGAGGTCCTAGCCTCAATACAGCCCAGTCTACGAGCAAGACGAGGGTTGCCTTAGATAATATAGGAGCCTGAAAAACATAAGTAGAATAGGGTTTGAGGGCCCATTAGCCCATTAGGGCCCATTAAACTATAACTATAATATGGAACCTCCCAAAATAGTATTGGTAATTACTCAGGCCCCTGTATAAGGGCTTTTTTGTAAGACAGGGGGTTCTCTAAGACTGGGCTTCCGTAAGACAGGTTTTCGTTTCCTCAGACCTTGTTTTTTCCTACCGCCCCAAGCCCAAAAGCGCATTCTCGCGCCGTGACTGGCTGGTGCTCCTATACTCACGGCGTCATAAACATACCGCAAAAGCTCATTATTCTATTTAGGATTACGTTAAGTGGTATTAGAGGGGTTTAGTATAGGGGCCTAAATAAAACCAATACTATTCTGGGGGGTTCCTTATTATACTTACCTATAGTCTCCATTGTAGTTCCTTTTTTTGGTTAACCAAAATCCCTATTATAGGATCCTAACCATAAAACTGGTTAACCAAAAAAAGGAACTACAATGAAGACTATAGGTATAGTATATCTCAAGACTAACCCTCCTATCGGAGCCGGGCAGCATCATTTTGCTCCCTTGGCCCCCGATACGAGCTGTACTTACAGTAGAAGCCAGAAAGTTGCAATATGATCATCGTAACCCCTTTAAGGTAAATTTTAGGGGATCCTACCATGAAACCATATTCCAACTTTCTGGAGTTCCCTCTAAAGGATCATGGGACATAGTAACTAGGGTTATACCTTAAAGAGCTCCTTTAAAGGGGATCTATAGGCGTTCTATGATAAGAGTGGCTTTTAGGGTCTACTTAAAGGATCATGGGACATAGTAACTAGAATTATAACGAGGGTGACTAAAGTTATGACCCCAATGAAGGTACTTGTAACCTGACTTATTAAGTGCCACGATCCTCCAAGCAAGGTGGGCCTGGGACATCGTTCAAATCGGGTCCGCGCCCATTCAAACGAAGCCGGGGAGCCTCCGTGCAAGCTGCGGGAGTTTCAGCTGCTAGGGTTGAGGAATTAGCTTTAGGGTTTAGGGTTTGAGCGACTACCTAGACCCCCCAACTACCCTCTAATATACCCCAACTACCCACAATTAAGGTCCATAAGGACTCTATTGTAGGGTCCTTGGGGGGGGGGGGGTCCTTCCTCGTCGGATTAAGGGTTAAGGGAGTTCCGAGCATGGGGAACCCTAAGATAGAACCCTAACTCGTAAGACCCTACAGTAGAAGCCAGAAAGTTGGAATATGATTATCCTAACCCCTTTATGGTAAATTATAGGGGATCCTACCATTAATCCATATTCCAACTTTCTGGAGTTCCCTTTAATACAGACAGATGCCAAAAAGACACCCATGATTTGGAGAAACCATCGGTGTTTTGGGTATTGGTATACTAGAGACAAGCAAGGATTGAGGAGTGTTCAGACCCTATTCAGACCCCGACTGGAAGCCTAACGAGTCCACATTGAACGAGATCAGGATGTGGGAAGTTCGTGATTGGCCGAATTTTGACGTACCTAAACTGCATGATAATCCCCTACACAGTTCCATTGTTGGCTGTGTGGTATTCCGCCGGTGCGTTGCTTCTCGAGTTGCTTGGCAGGATAGTATATCTTCGCAGTGAGAGTTTCAGAAAACGACAGTGATAAGAGACGGTGGACTCCGCGTTTAAGATCCAGCTTCAAATGCCTGCACGCTGTTTGTTGCCCCCCTAAACCCTACACCCTAAAACCCTAAACCCTAAACTCTAAAGCCCTAAAACCACAAACCCCAAATCTTTCAGAAAGTTCCCGAAAGCCCTCTTCAACTCATGTCGACCCTTGTCTTCAGCCTTCATCCTACCATTGTCGAACCATAGATCGAGGCCTTAGCAATTAATTAGAATTTGGGGTATGTTGCCCAATAACTATGATAAGGAGAGGCCGGAAATTCAAGCCTCCACTACATGTTCTTTTTTGGAGGTGGTTATTGTTTTAGCTTAACTTTAAAACTTTAAAGGATTTAGAGGAGAATGGAGAACAGTGCCCTACGGCACCCTCAGCTCTGAACCCCATAAAAACCCGAAAAAGCCCCGATAGACACTCGAACAAAACCGACGAAGTTCCAGACCCCAAACCCCCTTAAACCCTACCTGGACCCCAAACAACCTACCTTTTGAGGGTTGCCTAATATGATTTCGTCCCTGAGTAGGTTATTTGGGGTTAAGTTACACCCTAGAAGACCGTGTCGAACTCGCCTTTGAACCCAAGAAAACCCTCCCCAAACTGAATCAAAGCCTGCACCCTAAACTTATGCTCTCCCAGCCTGGCGAGGTTTCATGGCCGTTTGGCAGCGGATTTGCCTCACCACATCTTCGTGCTGAGTGCGGTGCTGGGGCCAAGTGCAGCAACGGTGGGTTGAAGCGTAGGGTTTGTTTTTTAAGGCTGTACACGGGGGGCTAGCACTTCAGGGTTTGAGATCTCCGAGACTTGTAACGGGCAGGGCTGTCGCAGGGAGACGTGTGTTTGAAGACGCGCAGGCACTTTGGGTTTAGGGGTCCAGGGTTTATGCGACTGGGCGGTGCTAGCATGGAACGGCCAATAGTTCTGTAAAAAAACTATCGAGGTTCCATTCTTGCACCGCCCGGTCGCTAACAATTAGGAGCGACTATTTGACAGTACATATGTTTTCTCTCCCGCATCCTCTATCCATCCTAAGTCCTAGTCGTAGGGTCGTCATGGTTTGTCCTGGTGGTCCTCGTGGTCGTCATGGAGAGAGGGTGTTTTTTTCTCCCTCTTGCGGGTCTACGCTGGCATAATCTCTGCTGCCAACTCTATCCTCTATATCCATCCTGAACCCTGGCTACGAATGTTGCTAACTACCACAAACCACTACGTACTATCTACTAGCTGCTGCTAGCCACTGCTTGCTACGACTACCTACTCCCATAGCTACCATTAACCACTCTTACTGGCTACTAGCCTACGAGTCACCAGACGTTACTACACTACTATGGGTACTATTAGCTACAGCCTACTTAGAAGGACTGCTGGCTGCTAGCTGCTTACTGACTGCTGCTACTTACTAACTACTTGTGGCTACTGCTGCCGATGTCTAGCTACGAACTACTGCTAATGATTTCGTGCAACTTCCAAGTACCAGCTACCAATTTCTAGCTGCTACCGGCTGGCGACTAGCTACTTAGTACAGGCTGCTAAACTTTCGGAATGCAGCCTGTGACTCACATGGACACTGTCCAAACTTTGCGCGAAGGTTTGCATAATTAGCCGCAGAACTGCACTCAACCTCAACGCACGACATAGAAAATTCGAGGCCTTCTCACCAAGTGTTACGCACTCCAACGGCCAACGAAATCCCCATGATCCCGTGGCGCATCTAGCATTGACAGTACAGACGCCAGCCAATTACGTACACAATGCTTCTACCAGAACCGCAGCGGATCTAGCGTCTCCTAAGCAGCGCCCAGGTGCTGTGGATAGCACTCGTGGCCTACTTCCTTTTCGGAGTGATAGGCCGGATGGTTTATGGGTTTTAATTCGTAAACGATTGCTAATCACAGGGCGTATATCATACGGTTTAGGGCGCGGAAGTGCCTTCTTCGTAATTACAGGATTCTACAGGCGCTTAGATGGAGAAAAAAATGTGTGTGTATATATACATACATACATACATATATATTATATATATATACACATACATGTATGTGTATGTATGAATGAATGAGTGTATGTATGTATGTATGTATGTACGTATGTATGTATGTATGTGTGTAGAACATGAAGGGTTGCAGGTCGTCATGGGGGCTTGGAGGTTTTGAGGGTTTGTGGCTTCGGGCGATGAGGGTTTGGCCGGGTTTGGGGCTTTACATCTTACAGCTTGCAATGTCGAGCTCCATTGCTGCCTGCCTGTAGGACTTTTAGTTTAGGCTGTTCTTGTCTAAGACTTTGGAGTCCTAAGCCCCAACACCCCAAACCCCTAAACTCCATGACCTTAAACTTGAAGCCCGGAACCCTAAAGCCGTTCAGTTGTGTCTTGTTCTGTTCTCCTTTGTTTCGCTTGCTGTCTTTTGACAGCCATATCCGGGCTATCAACCCCTCAAGACACGGAGTAAACCTTGCTCAGGCTCAGGAAACCCAAAGCCATGAACGTAACACGACTGCCGTTATCTTTATGGTAACTGTTAAAGTTCTTTAACAGGAACCACCCTAAACCCTAAAGCCTAAACCCTAAACCCTATTGCACTTTGAAACAAACCCTAAACCCCTAAACCCAGAAAGCTCGAATCGGATTCGACCCTGCGTATGGCCAGGCGCCATGTGGCACGAGAACAAAATCCTGCACAAAGCCTTGCTCAAGGCCTCCGGCGTGCGGGCTTCCATGCATAGGCTTTTAGTATATTCCAGTCTGCTGCAGTCTATCCAGTTTTGTGTTGTGCCATGGATACAGACACATCATTTTTTCCTGGTTGCAAGGGGCTTTGAATCCTCCAAACCCAGATCCTCAAACCTTCTGCCTACGCGGTCCAAAGTTCCTGTATAGTAGAATTTACGGTTTCTATATTGGGAATTACTCGTATGATTAAGAGAAGTATCCCCCTTAACAACAGTACCTAGGACCCTTTGGCTAACACGACCCAGCAGTGTGGCCTTGGGTGCAGGTCGAAAAGCTCCACGACCATCTGGCCAAGCGAAAGTTGATAATGCGTGAGCAGGCGGCGCTACTACTACTACTACTACTACTACTACTACTACTACTACTACCACTACCACTACCACTACCACTACCACTACCACTACCACTACCACTGCCACTGCCACTACCACTACCACTACTACTACTACTACTACTACTACTACTACTACTACTACTACTACTACTACTACTACTACGACTACTACTACTACTACTACTACTACTACTACTACTACTACTACTACTACTACTACTACTGCTACTGCTACTGCTACTGATACTGCTACTGCTACTGCTACTGCTACTGCTACTGCTACTGCTACTGCTACTGCTACTGCTACTGCTGCTCCTACTACTACTACTACTACTAGTACTACTACTACTACTACTACTACTACTACTACTAGGAATAGTAATAGTGATAGTAATTATTACTACTGAAAATGAGTTCTAGCCTTAGCACACGTTTGTCGAATGAAAATTGTATTTATTCTTTCTATGAGTGATAGTGCGTGTGTAACCCTTCATCCCCCACCCATAAATTGCCCTTTCGAATAGTAAAACCACTTCCCGAAAATCCACCTGAGCAAAAGGCATGTTTAAAGCCAGCTTGGATTTTGGATTGGGGGGTGCGGGTTCAGGAGCAAGAATAAGAGCAGGAGCAGGAGCAAGAACTGGAGCAAGAGCATGCGCAAGATCAGGAGCCAGAGATGGCAAGACCAAGAGCCACGGTTTAGGGTTGTTTAGGGTCTAGGGCAGCAGCAACAGCAGACGCAATGAGCAAGAGCAAGAACAGCTGCAAGATCAGGAACAGGAGCAAGAGCAGCAGCAGGAGCAAGAGCTGCAACAAGTTCCCAATGTGGCAGTTGAGACAAAGCGCCGAGATATTGCAAACACGTTTTTTCGTTTTTAATCTGGGGAGGCGGGGGTCCTTAAATATGAGGGGCAAGGATTGTACATACATATGATGTGCAAATAAGCAAATGCATTAGATGCATGAACGAGGAAATGCAAAACAAGGCAAAGACATAGATGGATAAAGAAACCAATATGTGAACATATGTGTATGTAAACTGTATGTATATATATATACATACATATATTTGTAAAAATACGTGTACATGTACGGTATGTCTACACACACACACAGAAATCCGTGACCATGGTCTAAGCCCTGTAACCCTGAAACTCTTAGGCTCTTGCACCTTTGAGCCGGAAGCCTTCCGAGTCCTAAGAAGCTTCACCGTGGGTTCCTGCCAAGAGATCCGCGCAGATATGGTACTAAGGGTTTAGTTGGAGATTTCTGTCAAAGACGCAAGCGCCTGAAGCCCTTAAACATACCAGTTGAAACCCAACAGACACTTGTAAGCTTTTCTCGAAACATTACAAACTCTCTATAAGCCCAACCAAAATCCTGTAAAGCCATACAAACAGCGAAAACCCTCTAACAACTCTGTAAGATCCTCAACAGGATTCTGCGGGCGGGCAGCCGGGCGGCGGGGCGGGTCCCTCAGGTCTTTGTTGTCTTGAGGTAGTCGGGCTTTGTGTCGGCACACGGGGCTCCTCATAGTACTATAGGGCCCTTAATGATTAGAATGGGGTTTGGAGCCCATCATACCATAAAGATATGGAGGAACCCCCCAAAGTGGTATAGGAGGAGGCTTGTAACACGGCTCTGTAAGGGTTGTACACGGGTTTTGTAGTGTCTCAGAGGGTCTACGCCTAGGTAGTATCAGGGAGACCCCTTCACAGGGACCCTTCTTAACGCACTTCTGGCTCTTTAAAAGGGACCGTATTGAGAGGGTCTATATTCGCAAGGGTCCCCCTAATCCTAACTCCTATTTGTCAGGGTCTTCAATCTGGTTTGAACCCTAAACCCCTAAACCCTAAAACCCTGCTGTAGTATAGTGGTTAGTATTTCCAAAAAAATGAACCCTAAACCCCTAAAGCCTGGGATGGCAGGCAGCATCCGAGACAAGGTGCCCTCGATGTTGGCTGTGGCTGGGGCGGAGGACGATGCGCCCGCTCGTGTGGCGACTTCCGGAACGCAGCCGATGCAGCCGGCGAGCACCTCCTGCTTCACATGGTGGAGCCTTCTAAGAGGAGGCGAGCCACTCTCCTAGAGTGCCAGGCTACGAAGGGTGGAGTACCAAAATTCGGAAAGTACCGCTTAATCTTGCTGGACACTGAGGATGCCAGACTGGGGACGATGGGAGAGGGCCCAGGGGTCATTCCCACACCAGGGTTTGCAGGAGTCTTCCTCAGATGGCGAAACCTTCAGTGGTGGCGCCAACAGCAACGAATCTCCAAGCGCGCAGAAGGAGTACGCCACCCCCGAAAATTCTTTCCGGTGAACTTTGAACGTGAGTTAGCCTCATGTTCGGTCTTGGACTGACTCGAAGAAACGCTCTAAACCCTACCTTTCTACGGTTCCTTATTATGATTTCTGTATATAGTTCCTTAAAAAGGCAGGTCTTTTCGGCTACAGGTAGGGTTTAGAGATCTTTGGGCTCGGGAGCTGCACGCGCTAAGGCTTTGGGTAGGCTTTGAGCCCCAACAATCCCTATAGTTTAGAGTTTAGGGGTTTAGGGTTTAGCCCTTCGTAGATCCCGTAAAGCCGTAGCTGGCCTTGGTGCAGCGGCAGCACATCCCCCCCACCCCGAACACACAAAAGTAGCCAAGGGTTTCGGGTTTCGAGGCTGAGAGCTTGTAAGGTTTGAGGTTTGGGGGTTGAGGGGTTTAGGATGGTTTAGGGGTGCAGGGGTTTAGGTTTCCGGGTAGAAGGGTTTAGGGTTAAGGGTTTGAAGCCTCACGAGCGGCATGCGAACCAGCACTAGCACCAGCACCAGCTCGTGGAGTGAAGCGTGCGGCTAGTCACAGCGACCTCCGACGCGAGCTGCAGCAAAAGCAGCGCGAGCTGGACGCTCTTATATATATATATATATATATATATATATATTGGGTGTTCCTTATTGTAAGTACAGTATAATGGCTCCCCAAACCCTATTCTAATTATCAAGGCCCCTTTATTAAGCAGCAATCGCTGGACAATGCCAAGCACGATGCCGCCGTGGAGGATCGTTATCAGGGCAGTGTATACTGCCACACCTCTCAGCCGAGTCCTGCGTCGTCACTCGCCGCTGGCCAATTGAGAAGGCGACCTCCGGCGCCAAACTTCTTGAACCCATGGCTTCGGCCCAAAGCCCATGAAATGTAGCAGGGTTTAGGGTTTAGGTGTAAAGTTTCTTCGTTTAGTCTGGGCCGTAATGCGAAGCTTTCACCGAGTCAGAGCATCCAGCAACGAATGATCAGCAGGTGACCTTGAGCACCGAACTTCCTTGACCCCCGCGGCGCTCGGGCCTCCCACGGAGTGGTATAAGGGATAGACCCTAAACCCGGGTTTTGTTTTGCCAGCATGTCCTTTCGACAAGGGTTACACCCCCCCTCCCCCCCCAACTTTAGTGTCGGGAGGACGAAAGTTTTGACCTACTGGGCCTTTCTTGTCCTGAGGCATCTTGCGGAGTAGCGGAGTCGCGACAAGTGCGATTTACGTGGCCTGGCCAGCGGAGTATTTTCTCCCCCGTTTTAAAATTATACTACTTTAATGTTCCGGAGGAGTAACCGGTGGGTCCTGTGCGCTAGGAGTCTACGGGGGAATGGGGGCCTGTCTTGGACGAAACAAGGAATAGGTCAAACTTTCGTCCTACCGTAGGTGTAAGCTTGAGCCTCAGGGCCTCAAGACCAGGCGTATCACTGAAACCGAGAATCTTTAGCGACCTATACAGAACATGCCTCGACCCCCATGTCTCGTAACTCGTTAGGCCAAAGTGTAGTTTCATTGTAGTGGTACATAGACCCTTTCAAACTCTATGCAGTAAACCGTATCCAAACCTTCAGAGTAAAACTGTATACCAATCCTCAGGGGTTCTTTAAAGGAGCCCTGTACAGAACCTACGGCAGTTCTTGGCAGACTTGGAGGATCATGGGACTTAACAAGTCAGGTTATAAGTACCCTAATTAGGGTTATAAGTATAGTTACCCTAATTATAACCTTAGTTACTAAGTCCCATGATCCTTTATGAAGAGACAAGATCTGCAGGTGACTTATCATCCGGCAGTGGCCCCACCGCCCATGCAGGCTCAAAATGGAGCAGCACATCGAAGTCGAACTTAAGCTTAAGGGACCTTACATGTAGGGTTCAAGATTTAGGGGTTCGGGCCTAGGGTGACTATAGGGTCTGAATATTCAAGGGGACATATGGGGTTCAGCAGTGTTTTGAACGGCTGCTGAATGAGTGCTTTATATGTACGGATAGGTATAAGAGTTTCAGGGCTTTATAGGGTTGAGTGCAGGTTTTCCAGTACCAGCTATTCCGGCCTAAACCCCACTCTCTGAGCCCGAAGCCCTCTGTTGGGCTTTAGGGCTTGCATCCTTAGGCCCAGGGTCCGAAATCCGAGACCCTACCTATAGTCTCCATTGTACTTAAAGGGTCATGGGACTTAGTAACTAAGGTTATAATTAGGGTAACGATACTTATAACCCCAATTAAGGTACTTATAACCTGACTTACTAAGTCCCAGGATCCTCCAAGTAGTTCTTTTTTTGTTTAGCCAATTCTATATTGAGGAGCCTAAAAAGTAACCCCAAAAAGGAGCTACAATGGAGACTATAGGTACATCCAAAGGCTCCGATCTGAGAGCACCAAACCATTTCAACCCCAACAGGCTACACTTGGAGGTGAAGTAGGGCAACCATATTTGTAATTATAACCCATATTAGGGGACTGGTAACCACCCCACTTACAACTACCCATGAACTTCCAAGTACACCCTAAACCCCGAATCCCAAATTAACCGAAACTGCCCCGAACCGCTCAAGTCATAAGTTGGGCAGTGTCAGGCCGTAAGGGGCCGTATTATGAGCCCGCCACAACAGTAGCCTAAAAAGGGAAGCCTACATCCCACAAGGTGGGATGAAGGCCGAAGGTTCAGGTTGAGGGCCTTGGGCCCTGGATTTAAACAAAGGCCTAGATCCCCACCACCCAACCTTTAAGGTTTTTGGGGTGCTTATAGTTGAGTAGGAATCGGAAAGTTTGACAGTTTTTTTTTCTGTGGTTTATTGGGGGAGTAAGGAGGGCATAGGGTTAAGTATCTCGGGCTGAAAACTAAAGCAACCGGAGGCAAGTATGGTATCATCTTTACAGGGATGTGTTTGTTTGCTCCAGGTGCTTCGTTAGACGTTAGACTGAGTTTGCTATGTCAACAGCTGTTTCCCAGGTCTGATGTGTTCAATGTTAACCTACCCATACGCCCCAAAGTAGTTCCTTTTTGGGGCTACCTTATAGAATTCTACATATGAACCTCAAAAACCGGAACCACTTTAATTTGGGGGCCTTAGGGTTCGGACGAGGTAGCTGCATAGTGCTGCCAGCGCACTCTCATGCCGCTTCATCCGCAATACCTGCCCGGAACACAGCTGGCTCTTGCACCTCCGGAGCTTCCTCACACCGTCATTATGGGAGTTTCCGAAAATAGGGGGGACCCTAATAGAGTAGCTTAAGTAGTAGGATCCTTTTTTCTTTGGACTCCAAAATAAGGTACCCCCAATTTTCGGAACCCCCCTTATCGGTGGTGAGAAGAGCAAGACAGAGCCAGCATTCCAGAAACTTTAGGCAACCTAAAGCTTTGAAGACGTCCTGCATTTGAGGTCTAGGGGTTAGGGTTTAGGGCTTAGGGTTTAAGGTCTAGGGTTTAAGGTTTAGGGTCTAGGGGTTAGGGTTTAGGGCTTAGGGTCTAGGGTTTAGGGCTTAGGGTTTAGCGCGTAGGGTTCATGAACTTGTAAGCTATTGGAATTATGGTGTATCTGGGAACCCCAAAACCTAAGATGCTCAAACAACAATAGACCCTGTGTGCCACTATGAAGCAGTGGCTGTACTATGTCTTGATCCGAAGGCACGAGGCGTCCAAGGACTGTCCTTTGGCCTTGGATTCTGCTTGAGGGCAAACCATCACGGGCACGGCCCTTGTTATCAGAGAGATGTATTCTTTGGGCCTGGCGCGCTCATGTGTGCGAAGACGACACCAGTCGGACCGTGCCCTTCGGCAGTATGAGCCCCAATGCGCGTCCCGCCAATCTATGAAACCCGAAACCCTAAACCCTACGCTACCCCTACCTCCTTGAGGCCTTAATTAACCTGTAAGACCCACCGTTTACCCGAAAACCATGGCAAGAGGAAGAGGCTTAATTATCAACCAGACGTGCTGCCCTAAACCCCCCCCCAAACTCTTAAGCCCCGAACCTGCAAAGCCCTGAGGGCCTAAAGCCTTGAAACCCAAAATCCCAAGACGTTTCATGTCCGACAGGGCGGCAACCTCTACGGGGCCATGGAATCCGCACCAGCAGAGGCTCTGCGAGCAAAGATGAATGTGTGGGTTTGGGTTTAGGGTTTATGGGTTTAGGGTTTGGGAATTAAATTATGGGGGTTTAGGGCTCAGGGTGAGGTAGGGCTACAGAGTTCTGTCAAGGAGTTACAAACGCGTTGCCAATGGTTTGGGACTTGAGTGATTCAGTTTTTCGGGTAGGTGAAGCTGTTCGGATCTGCTTTTTTAGGGTTTGAGATGCGAGGTGTTGGGTGTAGTTATGTTATTGGGTCTACGGGTTTTGCATTATATCTTTGTCAAAAGAAGTAGGCATCCTATGGTTGAGGGGGATTGGGGTCCCTCATTTTCTGAAACTCCCCCAAAAAGGCGAGTTGGGGTCAACGGATTAGAGACTGTGCGGTTAAGGGTCAACGACCTGGGGTCTGAAATAGCACTATCTTTCTTATAGTAATAATAATAACAATGATTATTCCTGTTTTTTGTTACTAGTATTATTATCATTACTACTACTACTACTACTACTACTACTACTACTACTACTACTACTACTACTACTACTACGACTACTACTACTACTACTACTACTACTACTACTACTAGTAATAGTACTATTACTACTACTACTACTACTACTACTACTACTACTACTACTACTACTACTACTACTACTACTACTACTACTACTACTACTACTACTACTACTACTACTACTACTACTACTACTACTACTACTACTACTACTACTACTACTACTACTACTACTACTACTACTACTACGACTACTACTACTACTACTACTACTACTACTACTACTACTACTACTACTACTACTACTACTACTACTACTATTTTTACTACTACTTTTACTACTACTTTTACCACTACTTTTACTACTACTTTTACTACTACTTTTACTACTACTTTTGCGACTACTTTGACTACTACTTTGACTACTACTTTGACTACTACTTTGACTACTACTTTGACTACTACTTTTACTACTACTACTACTACTACTACTACTACTACTACTACTACTACTACTACTACTACTACTACTACTACTTTTACTACTACTACTACTACTACTACTACTACTACTACTACTACTACTACTACTACTACTACTACTACTACTACTACTACTACTACTACTACTACTTAGCATTGAGGGTTCCGGGTTTCGGTTTTGGCTTTCAGCTTCAAGGTTTAGGTTTGCTCAAACCTAGGGGTTTCCACATGGAAAGCCTTGTTGTTTTCTGGGCGGGCCTGAATAAGCATGCTCAGCAACGACAATGCTAGCGTATAGCCGCCATAACTAAAACAAACCCCCCAACCCCTAAACTCCAAAGCTGAAACTCCTGAAACCAAACTCTAAGCCCTAAGCTCCTAAACCCTGAACTGTAGAGTTCAAGACACACCCGGCCTCGACATACTACTGGGCTGTAGACCTGTCAGCCCGGCCGTCCCATCACGGTACTTTTTCTCAGGTCCTTAAAAGTTAAAACCCTTTCAAATTGGTGTAGTTTTGGGGCTTAACATAGGGGTTTACTATTTACTAATTGTGGGGATATTACATTGCTAGAAGAGAGCCTGATAAACAAAATCTCACAAGTTCAACAGCCCTCATGAACTACACGAAAATGTTCACATCTGTGACCACTTTCGTAAAGCCCTATAAGACAACAGCGCCGGGCGCCAGGTGAAGCTGTCTGCCTACAACAACCCCCTGTCAGCCTACTACATGTATGTCCGGGCCTAAACCCTCAATCCTATAACCTAAACCTGGCAATCCGGAAGTTATAGATCTGTTATTGTGATTTTGTTTTTGGTGATTCTCTTTCTTTGCGACGGTTCCGCATAAGGTTTCCAGGCCTTTAAGAAGTAATTGCTGAATAGTTGAATTTGACAAGATAGAAGAGGGCTTGGCGGTGTGTTCGACCATAAGTACATACCGCTTCTAAGGGAAGGCGAAGGCTTTTCGGTTTCGGTTGCTCCGTCTGGCGTCTTTTTGCTTTTTTCCTTTGGGGGATCGCTTGATTTCGGGTCGGAGCTCCATGTGGGTCATCACAATCCTCTTCATCCGCGTCATTACCATCATGTTCACCACCATGACCATCCTCAGCATCATCGTCGTCATCACCACCATCACTGTCATCATCTGCATCATCGCCATCGTCTTCACCACCGTCATCCTATGAACATACTAAACTCCGACAAATAAACGTGCATAGCCCCTAAGCACCCGCATGGTTCGGATGTAGCTTCGGTGGCTCGGTGGCCTGGCTCTACGAGGTTTTCCTTTTTCTCACGCTGTTCTTACCTTTGGCTGGTAGGGAATGGAGGAATGGGGTACAAATTATAACTACTATTACTACCATATTACTACCATATAACTACAATTATAACTACTATTACTACCATATTACTACCATATAACTACAATATAACTACTATTACTATCATTCTTCCATTCCCAACAAGCCAACGGTAAGTGTTCAGGCTCGCCATCGGTTTTGGACGCTTTGAAGCGAGCTAGTCCCTGGCATGTGAGTGTGTCTTCCTCGGTTATCCCACAGCCTGCATGTTTTGTTGCACAGCCCTGGCACGAAAGACGTTCATCCATACGTGCGAACCGCTAGAGTCTTTTCCGAAGACCCTTAAGCCGTGACCTCCTCAAGCCCAAAACCCTGAGCACCTCGGGGGCTCTAAGAAGCCTATCAGACCCTTGTAATTATGAGCAAGAGCCCTACAAGAATCTTATAAGAGCCCTATATAAGAAGCCTTAAGATCCCTAAACGAATCTCATGCGATCGCTGGAACCTCGAACCCCAAAATCCCAAGACCACTTCTTTGAACCCCTAAGCCCTAAGGTAGGGACCTCATAGTTTCCAATACCATTTTGGTGGTTCCTTCTCATAAGTATTCCATAATGGGCCCCAAAACCCTATTTTTATTATTAGGGCCCCCTATATTCTGCCCTCAACCCCAAACCCTAAATCCTAAAACCCGAAATCCTAAACCCTATCCCTAAACCCCTACAGATCCCTTAAAGGAACCCTGACAGTACACTTTAAAGGAGCCCTAAATACCAAACCCTAAAACCCTAAACCCCTTGCTCAGGAGAAGGCTGGGCACCAACCTGAAGTCCAAGGCTCAGGCGCGGAGCGGGTTTATTTGTGCGGCTCCGTGGGGCTATGGTCCTAGGTACTGTTATGGGGGATATACTTCCCTAAAACATACTTATAGTATAACCCAACACTATAACCCTCCTATCGGAGCCGGGCAGCATCACTTCGCACGAGCTGTGCGTAAAGGATCATGGGGCTTAGTTGCAAGGGTTATGATTAGGGTAGCTATACTTATAACCCCAATTAAGGTGCTTATGACCTTTACTAAGTCCCATGATCCTCCAAGTATGGGAGTTTCCAAAGATAGGGGGCCCTAATATAATACCCTAATAGGATATTATAAAGACCCCAGATCAGGTACCCTAAGTTTCAGAAACTCCCGTATATAATGCTTGCAGGGGGTTTAAAAAGCTTATATTCAGCGCTGTAGTGGTGAATGGTATTAGGGCCGTGTTTGGAATGCAACTGTGTGGTTTGATCTTGCTTGTGTTCTAAAGGTCGGGGCTAAATTAAGAATCCATCCTTACCAAAGCTGAGTACCACTGTTTATGATTGTTCAGGGGTCACCCAAACCCTGCATTACAGTTCCTGTCTTCGTGGTCTGTCCTAAGGTTCTCCCTAAACCAGAGCTCGCCCCCCTCCACCGCCACACTTTTGGCTGTGGGGTTTGGGTTCTCTGAGACATCCCACATCCAGTCCCACCATAAAACCATAGTAAAACTAGTTGGTCCGGTGTTCCAAGGTTTAGGGTTTGTGTGTGTGTACCAGGGTCCTGTCTTTGAAATGCTTGTCATAGTTTGTACATTGCTTTGTTTCTAGTCCGTTGGGCTGAAAGTGCGTTTAGTTAAGCGCGATGTTTTCGTATTCCAGGTCCAGGGGTTTAACCACAGACTTGTAGCCAGCTCCGAAAGCCAAAGCCCTAAACCCTCAACCCCTAAACCCCTAAACCCTAAAGCCCACGCGTAAAATCGAGGCTCCTTAACTGTACAAACTCTGAGATCCTCCGAAAGCAAAGGAGGGATCTGTGAAGTGAGTACCCAGAGGCCCCATAGTAGTTCCTTTTTGGGATTACCTCATAAGATTCCAAATATGAGCCCCAAAAAGGAACTGCTATGGGGCCTCTGGGCAAATTTAAGTTCTCTGCCTGAGTTCAGAAGTGCTTCAACTCCCTTGCCACGCTCTTGAAGCCTCGCAGCCCTAAACTCCTAAACGTTGCTTTACTTATAACTTATAATTATAACTTAAAGTTTATAACTTATAATTTGTAGTTTATAACTTATAGTTTATAAATTATAGTTTATAACTTCTAGCCCTACTTGCCGATCCCCTAGGTCCGGCAAGCCCTGAAACCCGTAAGGAACGGAGCACCACAGCGCTTAGGAGGGCCTGGTATAGTATATAGGCGGGGTTTCGGTTGAGGGTTCAGGGCTTGCGGGGTATGGGATTTGGGTTTCAGAGGGCTTACGGTTTATAGAGCTTAGGATTTGGAGCTTAGGGTTTAGGAAGTTTCGAATAAGAATTACAAACCAGATCCCCTTTTTAGTCCCTATACGAACATGCCCCAGAATGGAAGTCTATTCCGTACGGCCCTTGCTTTATATGGGTAGTTCTCTAAATTGGGGTTTCTTTGAATGTCCTTCTCATACGGGTGCCACACTAACTTGGGGACCTGAAGGGGGACCCCAATTCAATTACCCACATGGACAGGCGCTTTCAGTCGCAGTGCTGGGCCGCCCTTTTCCCTCGGCTGAGGTTTAGGATTAGGGTTTAGGGCTTACGGGGTTAGGGTTTAGGGTTTCATCATTTCTGGCATATCATTGTGGGTTCTTGCGGTTTCAGGGGTGTAGCTTGAAGGGTGCCGGATTTAGGTTCGAGGAGTCCTGGATGAGCGATGTAGAGTTTACTTAAAGGATCATGGGACTTAGTAACTAGGGTTATAATTAGGGTAGCTATACATATAACCCCAATTAAGGTACTTATAACCTTACTTACTAAGTCCCATGATCCTCCAAGTAGGGCCTAGGTTTGAAGATCTGTAGGGTTCACTCCAACTTCACATACTACCTACTCGCATTATGTGCGTGTGTGTGCGTAGCAACCCTGAGGCTCCAGTTACTACAGGAGCCCTGGGGCAAGGAGCAATGAAACCCTATTCTAATTATTGAGGCCCCTACATTATATAGTAAGTTTTCGACCATATAACATATGACCCAGGAGCCCGAGGGCAAGGAATGCTAGGTCGAAACCTCGGCTAGGTCGAGTCTTAGGCGCCAGGCGCAGTCTCTGTTTCACGCGATCACCTGATGTTGGGCTGAAAAGCAATGCGCGCAGACTTCGGGCATTACCTCCAAACGTATCGATGTCGGCCCCCACAAACTGTAATAGTAAACGCAAATCCGAGTCCTGGGCTGAGAAAAGGAAGGCTGGTTCCACAGTCCCGCAGTGTTTCCGTGGTTTGGGTTCATTGAGGGTCGAGTCTAGATTGAGGTTTGACGGTATTGAAACGCAGTTGTTTGTGGCCACAGTTGTCCAAAGGTCCTCGTCTTTTGAGCATTCGAAGTAGGTGTTTGGCGGGGGCTAGAACTTCTTGCGCTGCTCGTGCCGGTCGGAGGGCTTCCTACAAGCTTGCTCCGGATCATGATGATTGGGGCTTAATTAGGGCTTTGGGTTTAGGGTTTAGGGCTTATTGCTTAGGCTTTAGGGCTTAGGGCGTAGGATTATAGTACAAAAACAATGAGACGATTCTAGACGAGCCGATGGTCTTGTCGTTCAACTTCCCGTGCGTATTCACTCCCAACCCTTCTTCGCTGATTCGTGGTCGGGACCCCAATGATGAAGCCCCTAAGCCAGAAACCCTACCTCCGAATGAGGCTTATTGACAAGACCTTCCGTCTGTATATCTTGCAAGAGAGAGAGCTCGTTTTGACACTTCTAGACTAAAGGGATTAGGGCCTAGGTTTTAAAGTAGTGTCTGTGTCATAATCACTCGATAGCACTTGCCAGATCTTGCGCGGCGCTTTTACCTGCATACATGTAGGTGTAGTAGAAGCATACATGTGCATGTGTATGCCTGTATATATGTAGATGCAGAAGCATCTAGAACTTATCCCCTAAACCCTAAACCATTTTGAAGGAGTTCAAAAAACCGTAAACATATATGTACATACATACATACATAGGTATGATCGCTTTCTGGGATCCTGACGCGGAGCGCCTGGACCCGGACCTAAGGTTGGCAGCCGAAGTATACATACAGTGTGTGTATATGTATATATATATATATATATATACACGCATACATATAAATATACGTAGATAGAGAGATAGAAAGATAGACCGGTATGTATATATATATATATATATATACGTACATATTTACATTCATATGTATGTACACATGCCATGTCATGTCATGTCATGTCATGTCATGTATGTATGCATGTAGGTAGGTAGGTATGTGTGCATATATATATATATATATATGTACATGTGCAGGGTGTAGAAGTTGAGGGTTAAGGACTTAGGGTTCACGGTGCAGGGAGGGTTTCTTGGCTTTGCAGTTTGGAGCTCGGACAGAGGCTTAGGCGTGGATGCCGTGACTTTTTTGCTCCGGCTGGACAGCAGTATAATGCGAACGCAACACATGAAGCCGCTATGGAAGAAGCGACATGGCACTTCTTTGTTCGTCAGGCGTCTGTGTAGCGGATTGGTGTGGCGCATGCCAACCCGTTTCTCCGCCACTGTCACTCAGCGACAGAAACTGTTCGAAGTACGAAACCCTCAACCCTCAGCCCAGAACCGGAACGTGTACCAGCCTCACCGCAGCCCCGCCGGAAAGGGATCTGTCATAATACAAAACCACCCAAGCCCGAGCCTATTCATTCGCTTCCAGAAGGGAGTTTCGGGGACCCGAATACCCGAACGAACCCCTAGGAACTAGGATTCTGTCTATAAGAACAACCCCTGATACAGTGGGGTAGAATGGGCCGCCGCCCACAGCCAAGCTTCCTGGTTCGGCTCTGCCGCTGTCCGCACCCTAGTTACAGGGCCGTTCAGGGGTTAAGGCTCTGGTTAAAGGATCATGAGACTTAGTAACTAGGGTTATAATTAGGGTAAATATACTTATAACCCCAATTAAGGTAGTTATAACCTTACTTACTAGGTCCCATGATCCTCCAAGTGGGTTTGGGGTGCTCGGATTTGGAACTTTGGGCTAAGGTTGGAGCGTGAGGTATGCTTCGGGCTTGGGCTAGGGCCTGGACCGCAGGAGACATCTACCATGCCAGCCTTTCTGTGAGTTTCAGACTCTACGAGGCCCTAATCTGCACCGTTAACGAATAGGATCCTTGCCATGGACCCACCACAAAGGCATCCCTAGTTTTTGCAACAAGAAACCGCTGAAACCCTTGACAAATCTAGCAGAAAACAACCTGTCTATGATTCCCTAAGCCCTGGACCCTAAAGATTGAACCAGAACTCTCAAAGTCAAAAAGCTCGACATCTATAAAATAGGGGCCTTATAGAAACTAGAATAGGGTTTGGGGGCATATTATACTCTGAATATAACAAGGAGCCCCAACATGATCTAGGTCCCTGCATTAATCCCTTAAAGAATTGAATCCCGAAGCCCTAATCCCCGATTCCGAAGCCTTAGATTCTTGGGGGCATCTGGGCGTTTCGGGGGTGGAGCTTGTGAGTGAGGGGAGTGTCTGGGAGGGACCTGGGCAAGCAAGGAAAGTACAGATGCGCGAATAATGCCTGCGCATACGTGTACGTATATCATGTGTATATCTATATACACACACAAACACATACATACAGGCATGCATATCCATACATATTTCTCTTAAACCCAACTTGGTACTTGTCATCCTGCTTACTATTACGAGATCAAAGTCTCAGGCTCCTTTCACAACTCCCCCCTCCCCCGACAGCTCAGCGTACTTGGAGGATCATGGGTAGCTACAAGTGGGGTTATAATTAGGGTAGCCATAGTTACACCACGCATCTTCGGGGCCCCACTTACAACTACCCGCGAATCCCACGAACCTCCAAGTATCCGTGCCACCGAGGCTAGATGGGGCTCGATCCCCAGCTCGGGTTGGAAAGAGTTCAGGTTCAGATGCGTTTCAATGGGGTGGCTTCAAGGTCTAGAGTCTAGAGGTTTAAGTGCAGAGTTCTTCAAGTGTGGGCTTAGGCTTTGCAGTCTAACGTTTCAGTGTTCGGGGTTACCAGCATCTGGGATTTAAGCTTACTTGGGTAAAGCTGCTAGTGCAATTTCGTGTCTTTTGAGATTTTGGGCTCCTGCACAGCAGAACAACGATTTACCATCAACTCGCCGGGATTATTGATGCTTTGCAGCCAGGGGTGCAAGGATTTGTCGACAGCTTCTGATAGGACCCTGCGCATTAAACACAAAACACAACTCTAAACCCCACACCCACAACCCTAAACCCCCAAGCCCTAAACTCTAAACTGCCCCATGTCTCCTAAGATCCAATCCGGCGACGCAAGCAATGTCCCGAGACGACAACAATCCCTCTCAAGACCTACCCAGACCCCAAGGAACCTTCATTTCTTTGGCTCCTTAATATAAGTGTCTATAAAGCCCTTGAAGAGGTAGGTTATTAAAGGCCTGAGCCGTTCTACTCGATGTTATGGTTTTTGGGGTTACGTTATAGGATTCTACATATGAACCCCAAAAAGGAACTACCATGGGGCCGATGGGTAAGGCCCTAGATTAGGCCCTAAGCCCCAAAGACCAGACCTAACCCAAAAGAAAAGCAGGCATCAACCTGGAAAGACGAACTTCTAGGATGCCCAGTAGTACCCTTATTCACTTTTTGTAGTCCTAGGCTCCTTATAAAGTTACCCAATACCAAAAAGAGAGGCTTTTTTATTCTTAGGTTACTGGGTATCCCTAAACCCTAAACCCTAAACCCTAAACCGTGGTATCCTAGACTTAGACCTAAACTTTACTTGCCCGTAACCCGAACACTAGGGCTCCACTTACTTCTATGCTAGGTTACCATCTACTTAAAGGATCATGGGACTTAGTAACTAGGGTTATAATTAAGGTAACTATACTTATAACCCCAATTAAGGTACTTATAACCTTACTTACTAAGTCCCATGATCCTCCAAGTACATAATACCGAATGTAGGAACCTGATTAAGAAACCCTGGGCCTATATCTCCAAAGTTGTTGGATTCAGAAAAGGAATCCTAACAAAGATCCAAGGTTTCTTAATCAGGTTCTTACATTAAACCCTACAAAACCCTTGTAGCCCTTACAGTACCCTTGAAAGGTACCCTTATAGAACCCTAATGTTAATCCAGGAACTATCTATTGAGGTGACTGGAGCCTTCGGGTAAAGTATTCCAGACATGTCCAGAGCAACAGCCATGCAAATCCCTAGAATCTCAGCAGTATACATCTTTTCACCATCTTTAGCAGGGTCTCAATCGTTTCACTGGGATTTAGGTATAGTATTACTGACCTGAATCCCATTGAAACGTTTGAAGCCCAGCCAAAGTTGAGCAAAAGATTTAGCGAGCAAGACACCTCTCAGGGCGCGATGCTGCCGGGGCCCGGGACAGCCTCTGTGCTCTTTGTTTCCGGCCTCCTTTGGGCTTAAGTGTTTTATGGAGCTTCTGTAAGGTTGCATCGGATATTGAAAGGCCAGGTGTGATTTGGGAGTTGGCGTCACTTAGGGGTTTTGGGCTGGGTGCAGAAAGTCGCGGTGGCTACGACGAGCCTAAATGCATGTCATCGGGCGAAGGGTTTCAAGGATATGCGACGTCCGGCCAGTCCTCAACAAAAGCGCAAATCCCAGACGCCATAAGGTTTGGGATTGAGAGTCCAAGATGTAGTCCCGCACAAGGCCCCGGACACCAATGCCTGAGGCCATTTGCAACCCATAGTCGGGCACCCTACACCCCCCCTTGCAAAACCATGTGAAGACCCCTATACGATGTCTTGTTATATAAGGTTTGCCGTTTAAGGTTTTAAGGTAAGTTTCGGCTCTAAGAAACCCTAGTAAGACATCTCTCAGCAGCTCCTAAAAAAAGCGATGATGCTTTAGGCGTCAAGGCCCAGATAATGTTCGTGTTAGTCCATGTGAAGGAATCGCAGTGTCGCTGAACGAAGCGGGCGCATGTTTAGTGCCATGTGGGGGGGGGGGGGGGGGTAAATTGGCCGTCGGAAAGCCCTCTGTCTAAAACCTTACAGAAGCCTATGCAGGCCCTGTTAAAAGGTACCCCCTAAATTTCCGGAAACCCTATAAACCATTATAGTAGCCCTTCAAAGGAACCCTCATATTGCCCTTATAGTAACCCTTGAAAGGAACCCTAAGGTGCCCCTCTGTAATAGGGCTCGGGTAGCTCTCGGTCTGGCTCTCCAGGCACTCTGTCGCAAGGGGCCAAATCCGAGACCCTCGCAGCAACTCGGGCAGAACGGATGTGTTGGGTTTCTGCTACATCGAGGATCATGGGACTTAGTAAGTAAGGTTATAAGTACCTTAATTAGGGTTATAAGTATAGTTATACCCTATAACCCTATAGTTACTAAGTCCCATGATCCTTTAAGTAGGTGATTAGACTGTTCAGGATGTCAGTTTGAGGGGCATACTAGAGGTATCAGGGATTTGGGGTATAGGGTTTAGGGTTTAGGGTTTAGGGTTCGGAGTTTACTTGCCGAGGTCTGCCACACGAGGATGTGCACCTTACCAGAGTTTGGGGCATGCTTCCGGTTGTTTTGCTGCTTGGTGCTTGAGGCGAGAAGTTAACAAACACCGGGCCTCTTCATGGGCAGTTCTCTAAATTACCGTACCTTTTAGGGTCCTTTTCAAAGGGTGCCGCGCTACATGGGGACCTAAAGGGGGACCCGAATTTGGAGAATTACGCTCATACAAACCAGAGAGGACAATTAGAGTGAACCCGACAGAAGCACTCCTAAGCCCAGCTCTAGGAAACTCTCATGTAGCTTTGGTGCGAGGATGTCTACATCGGAGCCCCTTCTAAACTATCTATGCCGACCTGATCTAAAGGTGGGAAGTACTAACAAGGGGAATACTATTAAATATTAGATAACAGCAGCGACCCATTATAGATCCCATTTCTCGGTCTTAAATGCCGCGAAGCCACCCTTACAGGGGCCTTAAGAAGCAGTAACCCTAATGCTCCTGGACCCTCGTAGTTCCGAAACTTTAGCCCCCAAAGCCCAAATCCTCGCCCACAAAGCCCCTAAGCCTATCAGGAGCCTTAGGGAAATAATTAACTGAAACCTAAAAGGCAACCTCACAAGGAACCCGCAGTCCCGAAGTCAACCGAAGTCACAAGGTCCTTGATCTGAAACATACCTTAGAAGCTGCCACCCGGTAATAGTGAGTATAAGGATTATATTAGGGCCCCTATTATATTCCTGTTATACCACTATTACAGGGTGGGGGCCCCTTCTAAAACATACCAGACAAAATACCGCCAAGCCCCAAACGCGCAGCCTTACAGTGCAACAGCTAGAAGATACTAGAACCCTGAAGCCGTACAAAAGCTCAATAAAAGCCCATAGAGCTACAAAGTAAAAGAGAAGTAAGAAGCCCATAAAACCCTAGCAAACCCTGTCCATCCTTATCGAACCCTATGCAACCTCACAAGACCCTTTGGAACCCTACAGCCCTCATTAAGAAAACCCCAAGGCCCTTAAACCCTTAAGCCCTTAAACCCTAGCCTCTAAATCTTAACCCCTATAATTTATGCCCTTAACCATAACCCCCAAACCCTCCCTGCTCCACCCCCTGCCTGGCACAAAGGTAGAGAGAAGAATACAGAAGGCAAGGAGAGGGTGTAGGGTCTGAAGGGTTCCTTTAGGGACGTTAGGGCAGGGGTTCCTGTGAGATGGGGTTCTTAAATAGGGTTTGGGGTTCAAGGCAGGGTTTGGGGCTTCAGGTGATGATGATCATGATGGTGATGATGATGCTGCTGCTGATGATGATGATATCGATGATGACGAAGTTGATGATGATGATGGTGCTGATGATGATGGTGGTCATGACCATGATACATGCCGGACATTCGACACTCGAGCACCAAAGCCTCAGCTCCAATCCCGCATAATAAAACCCAAAATCTTAGAGGCCTTACATAGAGCAGCGCCCCTAAGCCCGGAAACTCTATCCCTAAGCTCCAGAAGCCCTATAGACCACAAGACCCTTCAATCCTCAACCCTTAAACCCGTCAAAGCCCAAAAATCCAAACCGGCAGACCGCGAAGACGAACAACCTGAAGACTTACAAGGCCAAGCAGAGGGTGGCTTTAGGGTTGTTTTGGGGAGCCGTTAGGGTTCTACATTTGGTTTTGTGTGTTTGGAACTCGCAGCTGTGTGGTTTACGGCGCTGGGCCTTGTGATTCAAAGCCTAGGCGGTTTTGAGTATCCTTGTCGGCTTCACTGATGGATGTTTTCTTTGCTTTTTTACACTAGGACGTTGATCATCTATAAGTCATACTTCAATTAACAATAGAGTCCTCAGCAGCTTCGAGACCACATGCTTTCCGTGGAAAATTATTTCAGGTCTGTAGATGTTATATGGTTTGCAGCTTCCCCGTGACTTTCTTTATCTTGCGACGTTTAGGTCTTTGCCTGCCTAGTGACAGGATCAGGAGACTTAGGATGTTTAACTATGCAGTCATAGTTACCTTCAAGCCCCAACGATGTTTTGTGACCTTCCAGGAACCCCCAAGTACCCTTGAAGGATCTTGAAGGGGACCCTAAACCCTAAACCCTAAACCGTTAAGAAGCAATTAGGAGCTACAGCAAAGGTTAGTTGGGGGGGTCTGGGTTCTTGGAGAGCTTTAAGCTCAGACATGCTTGGCGGAGGGTCTACCATAAATCCTAAGAAGACCCCAAATCCTAGACCCTAACCCCACCCTATCAGCAATCTATAGCCGTTGTTCAGCAGTGTAGGTTTTTGTTCTTAACTTTTTCGGGCTAGTAATACGAGCTAGGTATGCCTTCAAAATATGCTATTTCCCCAGTTGAGCCCTAAACCCTAAACCTGAAACCCTAGTAAAGCTTCAGGGAGTTCCTTGAAGGAAGCCTCATAGCACCCCTCTGCACGAGCAAACCCTAACATAAAACCTAAAACCCTAAACCCTAAACCCTTTCCTAAACCCTAAACCCTAACCCTAAACCCTAAACCCTAACCTAAACCCTAAACCCTAAACCCTATACCCTAAACCCTAAACCCTAACCCTAAACCCTAACCCTAAACCCTATACCCTAAACCCTAAACCCTAAACCCTAAACCCTAAACCCTAAACCCTAAACCCTAAACCCTAAACCCTAAACCCTAAACCCTAAACCCTAAACCCTAACCTGAAAACCCTAAACCTGCAGGAGTTCCAGGATGCCTACTCGCAGAAAGGCCCCATCCGACCGGGCACTTCAGCGCCCCGGGCCCAGTGGGTACATCAGGGATCCTTACAGGACTTAGTAGGGTTTGGGGGTTTAGGGGGTTTAGGGTGTAGGGGTTTGGGGTTTTAGGGTTTAGGGTTTATAAGGTGTAGGGTTCAGGGTTTACTGAGAGGGGTTGAAATGAAAGTGTCCTGGCGACATTCACCGTGTTGCGAGGGCATTTGCACGCGTGTCTTAACATTAGGGATGCCTTATGAGGGGGCTTGCTTACCCTGTAGCCGAAAAGGCCTTCTTCTCTGGGGTGTCTGATTATAGTTTGTCTAAATAGTTCCTTACAAAGGTCGGTCTTTTGGGCCACAGGTGGGTAGAGTCTCCCCAAGCTTTTTGAGACTTCAATGTCATGTACGGCCCAAACCCAAACAAAAATGTAGAGCAAAAAGTAGGGTTCACAGATTTACGGTTTCTGATTGTAGCTGGAACCGCCCCTTTTCGAGTCGTTTACAACCCCTGAGCCGTAATCGATGGTGGAACTTATCATTCTTGAATCCCAGACTTTCAGCAAAGCCCGTTTAAACACGGGCATACACCCTACACTCCAAGCCCTGAACCCAGCAAGCAACATCCTCTTGGCGAGGTCGGTATATTCAGTTCGTACCGTTTCACAGCACCTTTAGGTATGTTATCAATTTTTGTTCCAATTTCTTTAGGCCCCGACCTTGAAAAGCACCCTGCGCCGCAAGGCTGGACGTGAAACTGAAGGAGCTCGGAAAGGGATTTGCCCGGGCCTCATTCGGATGTGAGGGTTTCTTAGGCGGTTCTTAGGTGAGGTATTGCGGGCGAGAGAGTGAGCACCCTAGGGTCTCGAGGCTCGGGTCAGGGCGCACGCATAGGGACCTAATAGGCTATATTTATGTAGTAATTAATTAAAGGTCTGGTTGGCTCCCTGCCTGCAGGGCTCTGTCTGTCTGTCTGTCTGTCTGTCTGCACCGCATGTACGATATGTACGTATGAGTGTATTTATCCTTCTCTTCGGCAAAGACTAGGCAGTAAACAAACCGGGAAGAGCCTGATACAAAAAGGCCACTCTTGTCGCTCTGAGGTCTGCCGCAAGCTGAAGAAGTCTCTTGTGCCCTGTCATCGGCTCAGGGGGTTATGTGGGGGGCTCCTTATTATAATTATAAAATAATGAGGGATACTTTTGGGATGTCATGTAGGGGCCTTAATAATTGCCTGTACTATTCGGGGGGGGAACCTTATTATAAGTATAGTATAACGGGCCCCAAAACCCTTTCTAACTATTAAGGCCCCTACATTACATGAAAGCTGGAGGTGATGTTCGTAGGCTGTTTCACATCACAGGTCTAGCAGGGGCCGATAGGTTTGTACGGCTTCTACTTGGAGGATCATGGGACTTAGTAAGTAAGCTTATAACCCTAGTTGCTAAGTCCCATGATCCTTGAAGTAGATGCCTCGTGGGTTTTGTGGCGCTGCGCAGCATCTCGCATGATGTGGGCAGCTTCTTCTTCTTCTAAACATGCCGCCGTTGTTTGCTAGGAGTCGTTGCTGCCGCCTCTCGCTGTTAAGGCTTAGGGAGAAGCTGAGGCAAGAACCCCAGCGACATCAGCAAGTACTGCCAGGCCAGCGGATGGTGGGAAGGAAGGGACCCCCGAACCCAAGCAATAAACCGCCTATACCCTAAACCCGTAAAGCCCCAAAAACCTAACCGCTTAACCCCCCAAACCCCCACAAATCCAGGGAGGAGCTACACTTGCACGACTTCTTATCATCAGGATGCGTTCAAGTTCAGGCTCCGGCTTCGTAAGAGAGAGTGTTTGGGGTTTAAGGTGCAATTAGGCTTCAGGGTTTTTAGTGTTTGTTAGTGCTGCAGTTCAGTCCTGCAGGGCTCAGCCTGATACCTTTAGACCGAAAACGACAAGCCCTAAACCCTAAGTGCAGGATCTGAACTTCAAAAATCCGAACGCGCAGTTCCGAAAACCGTAGGCCCCACCCTCTGACTCTGAAGCCCGAAACCCAAAACCACAACTTCAAAACCTCTAAATTCGAAAAAATGCCAAAACCACAAACCCTAACCTCAACCTCGGCAATCCGAAATTTCTACACACTCAGAGTTTAGAGCCGTTGCAGCCATGTTCTGACCAAGGCATTGAGTGGACTTGAACATCCCCATCTCTGCCGCTTCATCGAGGTGCAAAGTCAAAGTGCGGGTATGTCCTACCCGGTGTTCAGACGTCGACTAGGCTTCAGGGGAGGTTTACCCTACTTCAAGGCCAGGGGCCTTGGCCAATGAGGTTAACAAGTAAGTTTACTATAAGTATACTTACAAAAACCGAAAGGCCTAATTAGGTACTTATGACCGTACTGTCGCCTAAGCTACTACTGATCCTTACATTTGGATATGTGGGGACTGCAAAGCGTTTCTCGGGTCCCGATGCAGGATTATGTTGAGATTACTTTCTGATGCTTTGACGCTGTGCTTGATGCTATCATTTACCCCACAGTAGCCCTACGGCCTGAAGGCATACTCCCTACAGCCCTGTAGGCCCCATAGCCTCAAGTTGGTAGTTGTTCAACGGACTTCCAGGGCTTGGTGTAAGTACATGATTCCCTGCGCTGTTTCGCATTGGCTTTACTAGCCCTTGGACCAGGCCGATTGTTCTCTAGCCGCAAAAAGGGGTACTGCTTAGGCGTTGCTTTGGGTTTTGCGTGCCGCGGTACAAGTCCGAGCAGGCGTTCGAAGACAACACGTACATCTACTTGATCTACGAGCGAGCCTGGAGCTGAGGGCCGTAGAGGTTTGGGGTTTAGGGATTCAGGGGTTTAGGGCTTTAGGGTTTGGGGCTTAGGGGCTTAGGGGTTTAGGGCTTAGGGGTTTAGGGTTTGGGGCTTAGGGGTTTAGGGATGCATATCGGCGCCTGAAGGATTGGTTGCGTTGTTCCTGGTGGTTCTCAGCTTGGCACTCCAAATTCCGTCCCTCTAAACCCTTCATGATCAGCGCTGGATAAAATCCCTTCTCAGGTTCCCAGCTTTACATGCTGAACACCCTTTATGACCAGTTCCGTATGAAATCCCTTTTTCAGTTAATGTATAGATATTACGGCAGCCCCTCCCCCCCCAAAAAAACATGTGTAGACCGAACCTCAACTTCCTGCCCAAGCGCTGCTGCGAGGAGGGCAACAGCAGCAGATGAAAACCAGCATGGCAAGAAGTGTGCATATGGGGGTTGGGGTTTAGGGTCTAGGACACAGACTAAGAAAGCGTAAGCAGCACGCCCTTCAACGAAAAACTAAACCATCCACCCTCAACTCTTAGATCGTATAATGTCGTAGGTGCCCTGAAGACACCTTTTAGGAGGGACCCGGCTGAGAACCTTGGAAGCAGTACTTTGAAACCGAGGCTGGTACCACGACGTTGTTCGAGAATATCCAGGAACGTGCCTCGCTGACCGAGGTGAGGGCCGTCTTAGGGTTTTCTCGGTTTTGGGTTTTAGGGGTTTAGGCTTTTAGGGGTTTTAGGGTTTAGGGGTTAGTGCTTGTATTCAGGGTTATAGAAATGGTGGCTTTGGCATCCCTTTGAAGGGTTTCTGGAATCTGGGCTGTAATACCTGCCCACGCACCCCAACCCCGTGCCTCACCCCGCCCCTCCCCCCCTCTGTTGAATAGTTCGGGCCCCTGCTAGTATCTTATGTCACACAGCCCCGGCACCAGGAAGAGGCCGCCGACTACTTGCGCCAGGTTCGCTCCGCATCTTGGGTTTCAAGGTCCATGTTTTGTTGGTTAAGGGCTTAGTGTTTAGGGACGTTTAAGGTTTTCCGAACCCCACTAAACCCGACTAAACAACAACTCGATTAGTCCATAGGCCTCCACTACTCTCAGGGAAGGAGCCCGAAGGCTCCGGAAGCTCAAAAGTACCGGCAAGGACCTGAACCCGGAATCCTAAAGCCTGAGCCGTGAACCCAAAACCCTGCGCCCCAAAGCCTAAGACCTAAACCCTGAACCCAAAGCAGGTGAATGCCATTGTGGAAAGATTGGCCCTCGCCCGAATGCAGGATATTTGCCACCGGGGCACTACCCACGACCAGTAGGTAGTTCCGTCGTCTCCTCATATGGTGGAGACCATCGCACTTCGTGGCTTAAACCTAGTTTCACCGTACTGGAACAGCAGGTTATAGTCTAGGTATAGTAATTACTCCGTCGGCATAGTCTTAGTCACTGTCAAGGCTGTGTTTTCGGGTCCATCAACTTCATGAATCCATACAAGCACGGCCCGAGCATTATGGCTTCCGGTTACGAATGCGCTGTCGAATTGTCTAGTGGGCTGCTTGGAGGATCAACCTTGCTGAGATGGGTACATCAACTCGTGCTTTGAGGCAGTAGTTGTGGGTATAGTTGCCTTACTTTCGACCATTATTATGGAAAGAACTTGCAGTACTCATTTCTTGTGACCCTTCTTACCGAGCCCAGAACCCTGTCAGCGAGCCAACAGCCACCATTTTTCGATCGCCACTGTCTGCCGGAGGCTGCAATGGCGCTGTCTGTGGCCCACTCGCAGGCCCAGATTTAGGGCTGTCATTTTTCATGGTTCGGGCGCATCTTTATGTATGTGTACACTTGCATACCAGCACGACAGTTATGAGGCGTACTTGTTTGGTTGGGGCTAACGGTCTGACCGCATAAGCTCCAAACCGTAAGCCCGAATCCTGAAACCTTCAAGCTATAAAACCGCCGCCGGAAGCTATGATTTCAAAACCTGCAATTTCTAGATCACGGTTCTGAGCTGCGCTGATGCTGGAAGTGGAGGCAGAAGGAGTCGTCGTTAGACGACCAGGATCAGACACTCCATGCTCACCTTGTCTTACATGTGACTGTGATAAGCACCAGGATGAAGAAATGAAGCACTCAACAACCCAATGTGTCTGCATAGATCCCGTTACATACATCGGCGGATAGCTGGAGCGAAAGCGAGAGAGAGAGAGAGAGAGAGAGAGAGAGAGAGAGAGAGAGTGAGACAGAGGGTGTGTGTGTGTGTGTGTGTGACAGAGAGAGAGGAAAACAACAACAGACAGGCAGAGAGGGGAAGTTGCAGTACATGCTAGCCTGAACTGGTCGACACATGAATGCACAAGAGAACCAACTAATTACATCAATAAATACAGAAGTTCATGGCAATACAGCAGAACATACATGCATGCACACTCATATAACGGACACATTTAAACAGAAAGACACAGTGCATGATATAGATAAGTGCATCTTCTGCGTTGATGGATCGATAAGGTTGCAGGTAGATCCATGAGCATCAATGTACCGAGACGCGAGTCCCGAAGCCAAGGTCCAAAAGGGCTTATTTGGGGTTAAGGGTGTAGCGTTTGTTGCTCCTGAAGCAGGAAGTTGGTTACAGACGTGGTGCGAGAGTCAGCGGGCCTCTGTTTCTTAAAAACAACACAAAACTGCAATCACGGGCAGATGACATGAGGGTGTTCTTTCCAAATTAGGATTCTTCGCGCGAAGTTTCTGATTATGAGATGCTCCTCCTGAGATCCTGCGGTGAATTAGCACTCGCTCATACAAAATTCCCAGAGAGCCCAATATCCCTTAATTAAAGGAATATAGCTTAAATCATAATATGAAGCCCTATATAATTTAAGCCATATTCCTTAATTAAGGGGTATTGGGCTCTCTGGGTTAGCCCTCTTGCGGATTTCGTGGTTCTTCGCGAGGAGACTTCAAGGGCTCATGTTAGGGTTCGGCGGCTCCGAAATTGCAAAAGCCACGCTAAACCTCAAGGGCGAAACCCCTACGCAGAAAGGGGGCCAGCGAAGGACAACAGTAACACGTACACAAGAATCACGAGAACGTCAACGGAACAGAAAGCATCCTGCGTGCATTCATCTGTATAACTGGTCCTGTTTCTTCTTTTTCGCACAATCAAAATACCCTGAAGCCTGAATGCAAAAGCCCTCGGCCCCACTCGTACCTTGAGCCTTGAGACGCAAACTAGCATGGAAATCCGGACCGCACTCCCTTTGCCAGGGCATCGTCCATGGGAGACTTTCACCGAAGGCCCTCATCATCGATGTGGGGCGCTGAGGGTCTTAGTTTTCCAATGTTTTAGTACGAAGGTTGCTTACATCTTTCAGGAGGTTAATTGAATTTGATAAGGGGTTTGTGATTCGCACGTATTTCCGGCTTCCAGCCGGTAAAATAGCCTCGATTGCAATCAGCCGTTGGTACATACCCTTACGATGCTTACGGCCAAAAGCTCGCAGTGATCGGTGCGGGTTGCTGCTGCAAGTTTATTGCCGGTATTGTCGCGCCAGACCCTACTATCGGTGCAGCACCGACAATACATGCCAACGATGCCTTTCCTACTTCCGCTCGGTGCATGCTAACGCAGAGAGCCTACTACCTCTTTTTGTTCATACAATGCCATAGGGTATTTATTCCGTTTCAAGACGGGTCGTTGTGGTTTTGTTTACTTACCGCTAATGCAGGAATACTGCTCAACTGAGAACAAGGACTCATCTCCAGTGCATCCTTGAATAAGAGATCTTTGTCTCCGGGGATTTCGTGCCAAAGGTACCCACGGGCGGTCCTAACTAGGTATATACCCTTAATATAGCTATTATATACCTATTATATATCCCCACTAGAGGGTGAGGCCCCTGATTTCTGAAACTCCCACGCGGGAGATGCTTCGAGAGCTGCACGGGTGGCTGGGCGAATCGAGTCAGCCCGGCCTGAACCCCACCACCCAACGCTATAACCCCGAGCTTTAAGCCACTCAGTCGTAGAATTCATGAACATGTGGGTGCCCCTAAGTCCTCTACAGCCTCGGAACATCTGAAACAGAACCTGGCCCGCCACTGAGGAGGAAGATGCTGCAGAGGAGGACAGTCCTCGAATGGATGGTGTGATGCAGCGGTTCTAGGCTTGGGATTTGCGGATAAGGCTGTTTAGTTTGGGGTTCCGGTGGTGCTATAGCTGCCTCTACGCTCGATATCAATATCGGATGCTTGTTCGTAAGAACGCTGCCTCCAATTACCCCTAAACCCTGAACCCGTGTTTACTTGAACGGTGTGGCCCCGTGTGTGCGCTTCTTTCCAGTCGCAGGACTGCGATGTGCAAATCAAGATTTGCGACATCGGCCAGGCCGGTTTAGCCTAGTAGTGGAGTAGGTAACCTGTAACTTTTTCGGGTAGTATAGTCCCAAAAATATAACCAAAACCATGATACAAGTAGGTTAGGGTTTAGGCAGAGATTTGTGGAGCTGCTTGGTCACGGGGTTCAAGTTGAAACTCTTAGGAGAAAAGGGGTTGGGGTTCAGGGCTTGCAAGAGGCATGTCTGTTAGACATAGGTGACTAGCTGAGTGTTCTCTCTGGAAGTGTCCAGTAAGACTCCCCGTCGTGAAATCCTGGGACAGTTAGCCGAAAAATGCCGACACCCGGCTTTGTTTGTTTACTCTGATCCCTGTCTTGTACGCTTAAATCAAATCCTGGCTACTACATACATGGGTTTGAGGGGGGGCATTAGTTGGGGCTTTGTCCCAGAAGACTTGCAGCAGAGTTCACGGCCCCATGCGGGGGCTTGGGCGTCTCGACACGTTATCGTCTGTAAGCAGCCGCATAATGTGAGTACCACTTCAGAGCAAAGCCAGACTTGACGCCACGAGCGCTGACGCCCCAAATGCAAGTCAATAACCCGACGCAACACTTTCCCTGCACGCTTCATCAGCCCTGTAGCCCGAAGCCCCAAGCCAACATAGGCCGCAAATCCTGACTCAACCCTACTGTAGAGACCTGATTAAGAAACGCGGGGACTTTATCTGGGTTCCTTATATGAATCCAGCTGTTTTGAGGTTTTAGGCCCAGGGTTTCTTAATCAGGTTCCAGTTCCTACATGAGACCCTGCAAACCCAACGCAAAATTCTATAGAGAACCAGAGGATGGCAAATGAATCCTCATGAGTGGTAAGCCCTCACAGTTTAGTGTTTTGGGCTTCGAACCCAAGTGATTCATCAGTGTAAGCCCTCAAAAGACCTGTGTGGAGTTTAGGGTTTTGGGCCCCACCCCCACCCCATCCCCCACCCACCCCACCCCCCCCACCTCCCCCACCCCCCCCACCGCCCCACCCCCCGACCCCCCCGCTTCGAACCCAAGCGATTCGCAGGGCTTTGTGCTCCGACCGCCTCTCTTCTCGACTGAGGAGACATCGAAGGCAGGGGCGTTTGGGCGGCGTTAACTACTGTTTGCTTAAGAACCCCCAAAAGATGAAAAATATATTCCTTATAGGGATAATATAGGGATTATCATTGTTTCTTTTTTGGGGGGTTCTTAAGCAAATAGTAGTAAGGGTTTAGGGTTTACAGTGTTTAGGCTTTAGAGCCTTTAGGGAGTCTTGAACAGAAAGGTTTGGGGAATGCGGTTTAGGGATTATTCTTGAACAGGAAGTTGAATTACGACTGTCCCTCGACCCAGCCCTGAACTGAAGACCGCAAGCCCCACCAAACCTAGACCACAACCCTAGATGCAGTTGCAAGTCTCCGTTGGACGCGGCTGTATAGTCCGCGTTGCCCGGAGGATGACATTTAGTTGACTTAAACTCTGTTTAAATGAGGCTTGTAAGGCGAAGGTGTTACCATCTTGAGTCTTGAGCCGTGACTTGTCTTAGTTGCAGTATCACTGTGGTTCGACAGTGCACGTAACAAGGCTGACCTCCTTGCCATCTAGTTAGTTCTTATCTGCGTAGCAACAACTGCAGAAGTAGCATGAGCCCTCATAACACCTATGAAACCTTTAAAACCAGAAAATTCCGACAATATCCGTACAGAACCCTCATGATACAGTCCCCTCTAAACAGAAACTCACAGACCCCGAACTCCTCAACCTTTGAACGCCTTAACCCTAAGACCCCTAAGCAAAAGCACAGCCCAAACAATCTTGGATTCTAAACTCTCGACCCTACCTAGACCCCCCAACTACCCTATAATATACCCCAAATACCCACAAAAGGACTCTATTAAAGGGCCCTTGCTAAGCCCCAGGATGCCTAAGAAGCCGTCCTGACACCTTCAGGGCTTGGAGCTGGAGCGCTACGCCATCTCGCCGGAGTACATTCAGAAGGCCTTGTGACCGTTTGCGATTTCCAATTTGATATGAGACTTCCTGTGAGTCAAGCAACTCATAATCATATTTCCAAATACAACTGTCAATTGTAGTGGCATAAATTGTGGTGGCATCAATTGCAGTGGCATCTAACAGCTGTGGTGGCATGTGGTGGCCTCAATGAACAAGTTGGCAAGGTGTGCCTGGCATCCTTGGTTCTTAGTAGGGGGAATGGGGGATTAGGTTATTGAGACTACTATAGAGGACCTTCCCACATGCCCTACTAAGAACCAGACAGTGTTGGGGCAAGGTATTTTAGAAAGGTTTGGGGTAAGGAGCTTCTAAAAGGGTTCTCGAAGGGTTCTACAAGGATCCATAGTAGGGAAGGCCTCGGGGTGTTGGGGCTGATAATACTAGAATTATCAGAAGGACCCCCCAAAATAGCATTGGTAATTATTCAGGCCCCCATCGTAAGGTTTTGAAAGGTTTGGCGTAAGGAGAGGGTTCTTCTAAGGGGTCTACAAGGATTTCGGTTCTCTTCATCAGGAGTTTCTAAAGGTTTATCAAGGGTCTCTGAGGGTTCTACGAAGGATCCGTAACAGTTTGGGTGGGAAGGCCCGATTTTCCCAGCACCAAGAAAACGGCCCTGGAACGGGTGGTTTTGTACGGGTGTTACAAAGGGGTTTAGGATGGTTTTGAATGGGTTTGTATGGTCTTCTATTACAAATTCGGGTTCCGCTCATTGTCAAAGTTCTGGAATTGAAGTGTTAATTCTCGCACTCTGCTTTGTCGAGGGGCTTGGGGAAGTGAGTGCTTGCAATTGCCCCTGAAAGGACACTGAAGCTCTGACCCTGGGCCCTACAGCGCCTCGCGGTATAATCCAGGCCGAGTCATACAGGGGTCGACATAGCTAGAAGAACTTCAGTACATCTATACTATCGTAGAACCATCTCCCAAGCACTACTCACAATTTTCTAGGCTTATAGGTTTAAGGTGTTAGGACCCTGAACAGACGCTGTAAGGAACCCTCAATCAAGAAGTTGCTGCGAAGGAGCTGGTTCTTGATGGAAAGTTGGAACTTCCACGGCATGCCGAGAAGAACGACATCTGGGCGTGCGGTACCCCAGGAAGGGTCTCATCTGCCCTTCGATCCAGGGGTTTACTTTTGTCTTGTCGGGTTTATGGTCGAGGGTTTGGGGAGGGTTTGAGGGTCTAGGCGGCTCTGGGCCTTCCACAGGGGCATGTTATGAGAGTGCGGCTCACTGCTGCTGTATTTCCGTCATTCCAGCTTCTTTCTCGTAGCATGGTTCTGGTATGTATGACTACTTGGCGGCTGATGGGAAGTTATAAGTGGGGTTTTAAGTAGGCCATATTAGGGGGCTTCTAACTCGTATTATTATGAAGGGATGGCTGATGGGGTGTGACAGCCTTGTGTCAGCAGCCCTTGTGAAAGCGTCATCGGTGTTCCAGTTGGAGTTCCGGCTCCCGACGCCCAGAGAAAGGCATCCAGCAAGACAGTTCCATTCTCCACGATCGGGAGTTTCCGAAAATATGGGGCCCTAATATAATACCCTATAGTAGGATCCTGAATAGGGTACCTCTATTTTCGGAAACTCCCAATCATGTCGAAGAGATATCATCTGCTCAGGCCAGGGTCAAATTACAGCAGCGCACCCGTGGTTCGTCTCGCAGAGTGTGCCAATCCAAGCATAGACAGACCGGAGCACCACTAATCGGCACACAGAATCGCAGTTTAGGCTTAGGGGGTTTAGGGTGGTGTTCTCCTTCACAGTAAGACTCATGGATCACATGGGTCGAAGCCACTCAAATTTAGTCTTAGTGACGGCATCCCCCTGAGTCTCTCAGTCTGCACCAGAAGGATGGGTCTTATCAGAAGCTTGATTTCGGTTTTTCAGTAGTGTTACTGTTACGCTGAGTGTTGCTCCTTTCCTTTTTTATGATTATTGCTGCTACTAGTCCTGTTGCTATAGTTTACAACTGTTGACATTATCGTGATGTTCGCCCCTGGCCATTATCACCCCTTTATGGGTGTTTTGGTTGTTGCTGCACACACCGAGGCTCGGCATGATCTTCTTCCACATGCTGCACCTGGGCGATGAGTTTAGCAGCATAAACGTCAGAAGCAGCAGCAGTAGCAGTAACAGCAGTAGGAGTAGTGGTGGTATTGGTGGTGGTAGTCGTAGTAGTAGCAGCAGCAGCAGCAGGAGCAGTAGTAGTCGTCGTAGTAGTAGTAGTAGTAGTAGTGATAGTAGTAGTCGTCGTCGGAGCAGTAGCAGTTGTATTGGCAGTAGTCATCTTCGTCGAAGGTACTTGTGTTCGTAGGAACACCAGCAGCAATCCTCAGTGAATACCATCGCAGACACAACAGTGAGAGTGCTAGGCTTGGTAAGCGAGGCAATGTCAGTCGGAATTGCTAGCCCCGTCCATACACACTACCATCATGGAATTAGGTCCCAAAAGACCATCCTTATCATGTTTTTGGGGGCCTAATTCCATAACGGTAGTGCACTTGGACCCTCCGGGTCATGGCAGCTCTGCCGACCGCAACAAGCTCAACCCACTCGAGAAACCGCATCTGAAACTCTTAAGCTGCACAAACCACCAAACCCCCTGGGCTGTAGCCCTTAACTGAACCCTTGTGATGCGTTTATAGTAACCCCTATCATGGCAACCCCTACATATTGTAGTAGCCCTTCTAGCCGGCCATATTACAGCTGCCCTTGTTATGGGTTGTAATATAGGGGTCTTAAATAATTACCTATACTGTTTTGGGGGTTCTTTATTACAAATATAGTATAATGGGCCCCAACACCCTATTCTGATTGTTAAGGCCCCTGCCCTAGAAATGATTATCTATACTATTTTGTAGGGGTTCCCTATTGTTTATTAAGGCCCCTACATTGTGTGTCTCTCCCGGCCAAGGTCAGGGAGCCTGCCGTTTCAGGTGCGCGCTTGCCGGTAGGGTTCAGGGGGCCCGAAGATCCGAACTATAGTGTATATATATATATATAGATATATATATATATATATATATACGATAATATGCTGTGTTGTGCAATAATAGGCTACAATCGATTATAGTATGCTGTCTAATTAAGATATACTATGCTATGCTGCATTGTGAAACAATGCGCCATACTATGCTCCAAAATTAAATTTGTAAAGAGCGCCCCTGCGCAACTCTATCAAAGCATGGTTTAAAGCCTTCAAAGCCCTGCATCTTGAAGCACGCATTCATAAGTTAGAAGGGGCCCCCCACCCTGTAATAGTGACTATAAGGATTATACTAGGGCCCTATTATATTCCTATTATATCACTATTACAGGGTGGGGGCCCCTTCTAATTCATAAGTCAAAAGCTTCAAAGGCGCTCCAACCCAGAGAGCCCAATACCCCGTAATTAAGGAGTACAGCTTAGAAGCTGCCCCCACCCTGTAATAGTGGTATAGTAGGAATATATTAGGGCCCTCTCTAATCCTATATAATCCTTATAGTCACTATTACAGGGTGGGGGCAGCTTCTAAAGTAAAGCTTAAACCATAATATGAATCCCCTTGTTATTTACAGTATATTTATAAGTCAAAAGCCTAGAGGCCTAGAGGCGCTCTAATTTGAATTATAGCAGTGGAGTAGGTGACCTTTCCGTACTTTTCTTGGGGTAGTATAGTCCCTATATAATCCCTATATAACCAAAAAGGTTAACCTTTAGTTCCCCCTGATACCCGACAAGTAGATGTAGGAACCTGGTTAAGAAACCTTGGGCTTTTGCTAGGGTTCCTGATCTGAATCCTATCATGTTGGGGTTATAGGCCCAGGGTTTCTGAATCAGGTTCCTACATTACCCGAAAACCTAAACTTTAAGCCTTGATTCCAACCCGGGAGGAGGGAAGGAGCCGAGAAGACAAAAGCCTTGATTCAAAAGCCCTGCAGTGGGGCGCTATTGCACTTAAAACCTTCCCCTAAGGGTCCAAGTAGTCCCTAATTCAGTGGTTGTTGGTACCCAAAAAGAAATAAGGAGTACTTGGACACCCTAAACCCCAAACCGATTCCCCGAAAGTCTTTGGCACTCAGAGTCGTTGGAAGGCATCCTCGAGAGCGGCTTTGAAGGCATGCGTAGAGCCACTTGGCCGTTAGATGGAGTAATATGGTGCTATACGAGGGTTCAATTAAGGTTTCTACAAGAATTCCTTTAGGGTTGCTTTAAGGATTCCTTTAAGTTTCTTGTATAAGGGCCCCTGCAAGGTTTCTAGAGGGGTTCCTTGAAGGGATCTGTAAGGGTCCCCTTTTTAGGTTTTATAAAGGGTCTTTACTAGGATCTAGAACAAGGTCTTTCAGAGGGCATCATAAATAGAGGTTTCTAATTTCTAAGGCTGAGATGCTACAGGTTCTGGAGCGGTTCATGGTCATGACAGCATAGAGAGAGAGAGAGAGAGAGACAGTCGGTACTCTTCGTGAAGGGAATAAAAGCTGCTGTGTTCAACTGACTCGGATGCAGAGTCCTAGGCGTAGGAGAAGCAACAACTCTGCAAGTCAGCTTGATCACCAAAATCACAACCATCAATGTCGTCATTGTGGTTGCCATCATCAGCTTCTCCGTTATGATACCATCCGCACTGTCTCCCGTTACATCGCTAGTTTGGGATAGCCAGTACAGTCAAAGTTGTCAAAAGATGGCGGTAAGTGTTGTTGTGAATATTATGCTCGCACCATCATCTTCATCACCATCACCGACATGTTTACCATCCCAAGCGTCACCTGCACCCTCATTTCCAATCTATCTATATATATATATATAAAACTCGCTCTCTTTGATATTATTGCTTTTGCCTCTCTCCCTCTCTCTCTTACTCTCTCTCTCTCTCTGTCGCTGTCCCTCTCCTGCCACAACACGAGTCTCTCGAAATGATGAACGCGGCCACATGAAGCGATGCCTGTCGTGATCCCTGTCGGCGTCGGCTCTGTTGTTACCTTTTTCCCAGCAGCCCCCACGGCAGCAGCAGCGGACCGTCACTACCGTCACCACCTACATGTGTATCACTGTATCACTACTCCTCCTTTTCGTCACCATCTCCACTGCCATCGCAATCACCACGTCGTCAAGTGAGACCTGCAAACCCCAAGCAATAGCCAAAGCTGCCACCACGACCCGCTTTAACAGGTTACCGGCAGAAAACTGGATGGTAACTGCGCCTTAGGAGCACCAAAACCTAAACGTCTGAATCCCGGTACTGCTCACTATTGGACTCCCAACAGTGATTCTGTACGCGAGTCCAAACCTGACACCCGAAACCCTCCCTGAATCCTCAAGCTTAGCACCCACAGCCCTGAGCCCCTAATCCTAAACCCTGAAGCCTCAAACCCTTCTTGCTACTCTGAGAACAGCCCACTTGGAGGTTCATGGGTAGTTATAAGTGGGGTTATAAGTCCCCCAATATGGGTTACAATGGTAACCACCCTACTTATAACCCCAGTTATAAGATTTCCATGAACCTCCAACTAGGCCCTGACCCCTTGTCCCTTATAGAATCCCTATAGATCCCTTTAAAGGGACCCTTAAAGAAACCTAGATCCCTTTAAAGGGACCCTTATAGAATCCCTATAGATCCCTTTAAAGGGACCCTTAAAGGAACCTTGCAACTACTCCGCAGGCAGAAGGCCATCACGTACGAGGCTCATGTGGGTTTGCGAAAGGTCGGGACTTTTAGGTCCTAGGGTTTAGTTAGTTTAGGGTTTAGGGTTTAGGGATTAGTTAAGTTAGTACAATTTAGGGTTTAGGGTTTAGGGATTAGTTAAGTTAGTACGGTGTAGGGTTTAGGGTTTAGGGATTAGTTAAGTTAGTACAATTTAGGGTTTAGGGTTTAGGGATTAGTTAAGTTAGTACGGTGTAGGGTTTAGGGTTTAGGGATTAGTTAAGTTAGTACAATTTAGGGTTTAGGGTTTAGGGATTAGTTAACCCTAAGCATCCGAAGACCTCAAATGTGACCATAGTGCTGGTTTGGGTAGCACAACAACGCAAGACCTTGTTTTTTGTGGTTCCGGACGGAGCATGTGTGTCATATATGAAAGTCCTAGGATTTCATGTACTTTAGCCTATGGCATGCTGTCCACTCTTTACACATGCATGGTAAGATGCCATTTATAGCGAGCCTGCTTGATTTATTGATTTTTTTGAAAAAATATTAAATTCCGACACGTTGGTTGAATTGAGAAAACAATGATTTATAGATTCTTGCACGTGTTTTTCTATGTGTATCAGGTCTCTCTCATTTCTATATATACATGTATATATGTATCTAAATATATATATATATATATGTATATGTATTATATATATATGTATATATATATATATACACACACATAGATTTGTCCGACACAGAAGCCACCAAGCATCATGAACGACGAAAACAAATATATGTATATATATATATATATATAAATATACATATATATATATATATATATTATTATTATTATTATTATTATTATTATTATTATATACACATATTATATATATATATATATATATATATATATATATTTATTTATTTATACATATCTATCATGCTGCATATATATATATATATATATATATATCGAATCCTTGCCACCCGCCGCTTCGCCGCCCAGGAGCTTGCAGGCATACATGTACATGCAATTAGGAAGACCATGATCCTAGATAGCGTGCAGTCACGACTATTCAAGGAATATGTTTTTCAAATAATTATAACTAGGAACCGGCCAGAAATCCCCAGATGTCTCGCACTCCAGACTGCACCGAGGCCCGTATGAAATAAACACGTGTGCATACAGACGACGTAGGCTACATGCATAGCCATATATATATATATATATATATGACAGAAGCCTGAGCTCCCAATAATTCGTAATTCATGGTCGGTGCCCGCCAGCTGCGGCTTTCCTTTGCCGAGGCCGGAATCAGTGGATGGGATGAGGTTTCAGTGTCCTTGAGCGATTTCAGGGGAGACATGTGTCGTCGCGGAAATATTTTGTATATATATATATATATATATATTTATTGGTCTGGGCTTTGGCATAGGAACAAATCAGGTTTCCGTGCTTTGCTTGGTTTTGGGCTGTGTGACGTGCCGTCAGTCCTGGATCCTCAAGGGTCGAACCCTTTAAGGGTTTTGCGATTTAGGGTTTAGGGTTGAGGCTTTCGAGGTTTAGGGTTGAGGGGCTTAGGAATTCGGACCCCCAACTTCGGATCCTACGACCCCCTAAACCCAGGTCTGTGGCCACTGAGTGTGCCTGCAGTTGCAAGCATGGGCTCAGACCGCTGGGAGTGTTTGAGTTGGCTAGAATATATATTTCTTGGTGCACAGGCATGGTCCTAGAATATGTACAACAATATATACGGATACATATAGACATACCCTCGCCTTTTTGTCTGAGCCCTGCTTGTCGAGATCTTCCCTTCGGATTCGTGGCCGGAGCAGCTGGAAAATTAAATAAATATATATATATATATATATATATATATATGTGTTATGTCACATAGTTGAATACGTATGTGTACATATATATGCATACCATATATGTATTATATATATATATATATATATATATATACACTAGCGAGATACATACTATACGTGTGTGTAGCTTATGTATACCTATATATATATACACATAATACATATATATATATACAGATTCCATGCTGAAGCCGGCTCGGTGACGGATCCGTCGAGATCTCTTAAATATATACATATATATATACTACTACAACCATGTATATATATATATATATGATATACATACCAGGATAACTACATACATCAGCTCATGCATCATGAGCCTTAATTAGGCATAGCTCTAGATCTAGAGCTGCTTTTGCAGCATTTCGCCATGGCTGATCCCACGAATGCTGGCGATGAGCAGCGGCGAGCACCTGGGTCTGGTGTCACCCTGCTGCGGGGTC